TACACCCCAGATACTCTTATACCTCCCCTACCAATTTTTTTAGTGAAGGGATTGAAGGGAATAGAATAAAAAGGAAAAGGGGGAAAAAGAAAAAGGGGAAAGGGGGTAAAAATAAAAACAAAAATAAAACAAAAAAAAGATAAAAATAAAATCTTGTTAACTTCCGAACCTTTTCTTGTCCTGGATATTACTCTTTTAAATATTAATTGTAGTTAATTTGTCCATCTTGTCATATTTACCTTCATTTCCTTTTGTTTTCAAAGAAGAAAAAAAGAGTCATTTAATAAAGTCCAATCCGTAGGATTTTTGGGTTTGCTTTGACAGTCTTTCAAAAAATACGTCAACCTATCCATGTTCTTTATATCCATTATTTTTAATTTTCAATCTTATTCTGTTGGATTTTCTTTAGTCTTTCAATTTCTTGCATATACAATTCTGGCTGCCATTATCATATAAGGATATCTTGATTCTTATTCATATTCATGTCTGTTATTCCCAGTAGGTAATATTCAGGTTTCATTTGGAATTTTATTTTCAAAATTTTCTGTATAGTTTCATGAATCATTTTCCAATAATTTTTAGCATTTTTACATCCCCACCACATGTGGAAAAAAGTCCCGCCCCAGTAAAAACATCTTAAAACATCGTACACATCAGTCAATAAATTCATTTACCAATGATATTAAAATGCCAGTAAAACCAAGAATCAAGAATCAAGCTGGGAAATCCAGTGTTACAAATCCAAATTCCTTTCCTATTGTCACTTTCATCTAATCAAATGCCTGGCCACAGACAGGTCTTCAGTTGTCTTCTAAAGGACAGGAGGGAGCTGGCCAAGCTGATGTCCTTAGGGAGGGAGTTAAATAGATGGGGGGGGGGGACTGCCAAAAAGGCCCTCTCGTTCCCACCAACCGTGTTTGCGAGAGTGGTGGGATCGAGAGCAGGGCCTCTCCTGACAATGTTAAGCTTTGTGATGGTTCATAGCAGAAGATATGTTCGGATGAGTAATCTGAGCCAGAACCGTTCAGGGCTTTAAAGGTTAAAGACAGCACTTTGAATTGTGCCCGGTAAAACCAATCGGCAGCCAGTGGAGCTGGCGCAACAAAGGAGTAGTGCACTCCCTGTACACCGTTAACAACCTGGCTGTCCAGTTAACAACCTGGCTGTCAACCATTGGACTAATTGAAGCTTCTGAGAAGTTTTCAAAGGCAGCCCCACATAGAGAGTGTTGCAATAGCCTATTCTGGATGTAACCAGAACATGGACCACCGTGGCCAAGTCAGATTTCAATCAAAAATGGAAAATAATAAACAGGTCTTGGTTTCTTAGAGGAACGGAAGCCGTCATTTCCAGACCAGATGGGATGGCCTGAGAAATATGCTGCCTCCGGGGGTTCAGAGGCTCACAAGGCTCCTCAAGCCCCATCACTGCCCCCCCCCCATGTTGATTCATGTAGGAACCAATGATACTGCAAGGCATACTTTCAAAAAATCATAAATGATTGTTGAGCTCTCAGAACAAAGCTAAAACAGTGTAATATACAGGTGGCCTTTTCATTCCTCCTCTCAGTTGTAAGACACGGCCCTACAAGGGCCAGAAAAATAGTACAGGTCGACAACTGGCTGAGAAAATGGTGACAGGAGGAACACTTTAGCTTCCCCGACCATGGCCTGCTTTTCCAGGAGGCTAACCTACTGGCAAGGGATGGGGTGCATCCCACACAAGTAGGAAAACACCTTTTTGGCTCACAAACTTCATTAGGCGCACTTTAAACTAGGTCCACCGGGGGAGGGGAAAAATAGCCTTGCGAACAGTACTTTACCCACAATGTCAGGGAACTGTCAGAAGGCTAAACAGAGAGGGCTGCACAAACACAACGAGGACCAAGTACTGAAAGCACAATAATCCCGAATAAACAGCTCAGGGGAAGATCTCAGGGGCTCACATGTCTTTACACTAATGCACAGAGCATGGGAAATAAACAAGACAAACTCCAACTTTTAGCACAACTCCTATTGCTGGAATGTAGCCATTGAGGGCTATAACCTCTTTCACAGATACTGAACAAAGGGGAGAGGAGGCGGAGTAGCCTTATACGTCAAAAATGCCACAGAAGAGATGCAAGACAGCAATCCGGGAAACCAACCTGAAAGCATCTGGATAAGAATCAAGGGAACTGGTACTCAAAAAGATCTCATTGTAGGCATCTACTACAAACCTCCAAGCCAGGATGAAGACCTTGACGACGTCTTCTGCCAACAGTTGACCAAACAGGCACAAAAAAGAGATATAGTAGTCATGGGTGATTTCAACTATCCCAATATTTGCTGGCAAACAAACTCAGCCAAGAGTACAAAGTCCAACAAATTCCTCGCTCACCTCGCAATTTCATGGTCCAGAAGGTAGAAGAGGCAACAAGGGAGTCAGCTACTCTCAATCTCATCCTAACAAATGCAGAGGACCTGATCAATGCAGTTGAAGTGGTCGGATCTTTAGGGGCAAGAAGACCGAAACTAAGACAAGTCAAACCCGCATTTTGGACTTCAGGAGAGCTGACTTCCGAAAAATGAAGGAAATACTGAGCAGCAAGTTGGGTGTCAGGATCCAGCTTCCAGGCCTTGGGTTTTTGATGCTGGAACCTGGGGTCCTGACGTAGAACACTGATAAGACTCTTGCAGCTGCCAACCTTGAAGGACAACGGCTTGTAGCTTGTAGCTTGGCGGGAATGTTTGCGCAGGGTTTTGACTTGGCGGGTAATGTACTTTCAAATGAGGGGGTGTGTATATAAGGAGAGGCCGACTGGTGCCAAGCAATCTCGGCTTTTCACATGTCCATGTATCTAGTAGTAAAGTTTCTCATTGATACCAGAGCGCATTCCTGTGTCTTCATTGGGAGCGGCTACTGTGAGCTGACACTGGGTAGATGCGGGGAATGCTGTGGATGTAGCGTACCTGGATTTCAACAAGGTCCCCCATGAACTTCTGGCAAACAAAGTAGTCAAACGTGGGCTAGGCAAAACTACAGTTAGGTGGATCTGTAATTGATTAAATGGAAGAACCCGGAGGGTGCTCACCAATGCTTCCTCTTCATCCTGGAAAGAAGTGACGAGCGGAGTGCCGCAGGGTTCCGTCCTGGGCCTGGTCCTGTTCAACATCTTTATTAATGACTTAGATGAAGGTGCAGACAACACCAAATTGGGAGGGATAGCCAATACTCCAGAAGACAGGAGCAGGATTCAAAATGATCTTAACAGATTAGAGAGATGAGCCAAAATTAACAAAATGAAGTTCAACAGTGACAAATGCAAGATACTCCATTTAGGCAGAAAAAATGAAACGTAAAAATACAGAATGGGGAACACATGGCTCAAGAGCAGTATGTGGACAACAAGTTAAACATAAGCCAACAATGTGATGTGGCGGCAAAAAGAGTCAATGGGATTTTGGCCTGTAAGAATAGGAGTATACTGTCTAGATCCAGGGAAGTCATGCTACCTCTCTATTCTGCCTTGGTTAGACCACACCTAGAATATTGTGTCCAATTGTGGGCACCACAATTAAAGGGAGATATTGACAAGCTGGAATGTGTCCAGAGGAGGGCGACTAAAATAATCGAGGGTCTGGAAACAAGCCCTATGAGGAGCGGTTTAAAGAGCTGGGCATGTTTAGCTTGAAGAAGAGAAGGCTGAGAGGAGACATGATAGCCATGTATAAATATGTGAGAGGAAGTCATAGGGAGGAGGGAGCAAGCTTGTTTTCTGCTGCCCTGGAGACTAGGACGCAGAACAATGGCTCAAACTACAAGAAAGGAGATTCCATCTAAACATTTTTGTAAGGAAAATGTTACAAAAATGAAGTCCTGCACAACTTTCTCGTTTCTTACCAGGGATAAAGGACAGGTGTTGGCATGGTTGTGAAAGAAGAGGGGTGTTCAATCACATGATATGGGAATGCGATCAAATGCAAGTATACTGGAGAATGATTGAAGGGGAAATCAATAGAATGTTAAATCTACAAGTAATAATAGCTAATAGAAATATATTGCATGCAAGAACAATAGGAGTAAATAATATACAAAAAAAAATTAGTTGACAATTTACCTATTCTCTATACTTGCTTTATGTATTGTATTGTGGTAATGTACGAGGTAAAGTATTTTTTAAGTAAGGTCCGTTTGAACATAAGTACACAACGAAAGTTTATTTCAAAAAAGTAAATTTATTTTCAGAAAGTACATACTTCACTCTATTTTTCGACATAGTTGCCAAGTTTGTTCAAACACTTATCATACCTCTGAACCAATTTTAAAATACCCTCTTCATAAAAACTTGCCGCCTGATCTGATATCCAAGAGTTCACTGTAATCAAAGAAGGGCGACTGGAGCGGTCCTCATCATGGACGTTGCCACGGCCATCTTTGAATTGTCGTACCCACTTACGCACTTTGCTTTCACTCATAACAGTATCACCGTATACTTCACAAATCTGTCGATGAATTTCTGCAGCAGGCAGGTTCCTTGCTGACAAAAACCGTATCACTGAGCGAACCTCACATGCGGAGGGTAAGTTGATAGTCTTAAACATTTTTAAAGCACAGAACAGAACCGTACAGGTTAGCTACAGAGCGGAAACTGAGCACAGTTGTTCCCGAGGCATGCCGGTACACGACGCACGCGCTCAGTATGCGCACGAACTACTAGTGTCTACAACAAAACGGACCTTACTTAAAAAATACCCCTCGTATTAACTTCTGATCAGTACAATGAGTAATTATTTAGTTTTATACACACCTACTGGTAGTCTCTTGATCCCAGGTTTTGCAGTCAAACAATAAAATAAAACATTTAGGACTAGACCTCTTCCACAAATGGAACAAAGTCCAGATCTACTTAAATACAGTATGCTGTTATGATCAACACTAATAAATTAGGAGCTACTAACAAAAAACCCACAAATAAATAGATATTTCAGATAGAAACATTAGAGAACAAAATCCCTAAGCTGATTTTACAGTAACTTCTTTTTAAAAGAGTTTGGTAAAAATATAAGCATGTGTTTAAGCATTCCAGTTAACATATGTAAGAAAACTGAGGTTCTCTGTGTGTCCTGTCCCCGCCGCCCCAAAATATCACATCTTTTAAACATATACAGCCCAAATCATTTCTTTGTGAGTAAGGCAAACGTTTTTCGAAAATACATATTGTAAATAGGAATTGAAGCCTTTAAAGGTATTACTAATACAGTACTTGAGGATGAACTATTATTCTGTGCATCAAAGAAATATCTGCTCCTCTTTGATTGGGAAATATTAGAGAGTCCACTGTATGTCACTGAGTTCTGCAGGATCACCCAGGCCACCTTCAGCTTCCAAGTAATTCATAAAAGCAGCCATGGCTGTGTCGTTTCCACACACGGCATCAAAATCCAGCTGAGAAGCATCACCTGGCAAACAGACCAAGAAATATCACTGTTTTATATATCACAACAAAACCTCAAAACCAGTCTATTTTAAAATATCCTGCAATACTCACTTTTTTTTGTATCTGCACTTGTCCACATGACCTTATAACCCACACTGGGCCAGAGGTCACTCCTGGACATCTGCACAATGTTCAGAGGATTTCAGTCCATAATGTGGGTAAAAACTCGGTTTTACCCAACATTAGGAGAAGTTCGCCACAACTCAGAAGCAGCCCCACACTCGGGAATTAGTGTGAACAGCTGAAATGCCTCTAACTTGAACCAGTCCACTGTCCACATGACCAGGTGCTACAATCCCTTTTCCCCTGCCTTTGTGCCCACCATACCCTGCTCCTTTTCCCTGGTCGTCGTCGTCGTCATCATCATCACCATCACCACCACCACCACCAACATCATCACCAGTATCCAGCTTTATCTCTCTAAAATAAAGACTAAGAGGTTCATAATAAAACCAATACAATATAATTTAAAACCGAAAAATATACAAACATTTAAATAGAATTAAACATTAAAAGCAGTTAAAACCCTTAACACCAATTAAGGGTGTGTCCGCTCCTTGTGGCCAGCCCCAGTTAGCTACCTGGCTGCAGCTCTTTGAACAAGCTGAAGTTTCAGGACATTCTTTGAAGGCATTTCATACATTACAGTAACCCAAACAAGATGTAACTAAGGCATGTACCACTGTATTTATTTATTTATTTATTTATTTATTTATTTATTTATTTACAGTTCTTATATTCCGCCCTTCTCACCCCGCAGGGGACTCAGGGCGGATTACAGTCAACACATATATGGCAAACATTCAGTGCCAGTTTTGACAACAACGTTTAACACACAAATACACCAAAGCTATTTAACTTTCTTCTGGCCGCCAGGGGAGCTGCTGCTTTTCATCGTCCATCAGCGACACCGATGAAGTTCTTCCGCATTCCACATTCCCCGGAGTCTTTTTCTTTATGGCCTCATAAATTAGTTAAATTTAGACAAATCTGGCATCTCAAGGAATGGTAATAGTTGGTGAAAAAGTTTTAAATGTTAATGTGTTGTTTATTGATGTGTAATTACTTAGTATATTACGGTGTTAATTGTTTTTAAATAGTGTATGTTGTTAGCATTGAATTTTTGCTCTTGTTGTTAACCGCATTGAGTCGCCTATGGGCTGAGAAACTGCGGTATACAAATAAAGTAAATAAATAAATAAATAAATGTGCGAAGGCACTCTTGGCTACTGCAGAAACCTGGACCTCCAGGTTCCATGCTGGGTCATACTCAGTATCGACCACAGAGCTCTGGGAGTAGCGACTGGGGACATCCAAGGTAAGGCAGGTGTCCAGTGGAGACAAACCTGTTTCTGTCCAGCTGGATAGTCTAGACTTCATCCCATCACCACTGCAGGACAGAGACAGGCAGTGTGGATGCCCCCAGAGCTGATTCAGAACACTGTTATTCCAAACTGGCTTTAGATTAAGTGGTCCATGTAGATGAGCCCTAATTCCTACAACATTTGAGATCTAATATACAGTAATTTAAGCTGGCTGCCCCCACTACTACTGCAGTACTTGCCCTGGGTCTTTGGATGGAGGTGTGTGGCTATAGCAGAAAATTTGTGGCATTTCACTCAGAACCAACTGGTGGCCTTCTTAGCTTGTAGAAGTGGGAAAAGCCCCACTGGGAGAACTACTCAAGCAACAAAATATTGGATGTCTCAAACCTTAAACATGTAAAATTGCTCACACAACTGGTGTGGTATCAGTACTGAACCTGACATTAAGGCTGTTCACTGGAAGCCAGCAATACAGAAGTCTAGTTTTTTAATTGAAATTACAGAAATTCAAATTCTTCCATAACATCTGAAACACCTCTTTTCCCACACGACAGACAATAATAAAAATTAAGTGTTTTCATACCTTGTGTTAAAACAAGACAATTGCGAATTCCACATCTACAAGAAATGGGGCTTTACCGTGTTACTATCTTATCTTAAAAATGCATTGGCAAGAAGCAACATTAATACATACATTTAACTATCCAATTGCACTGGTCATTGCATTTGGGGCAATTTGCTGGCTTCCTATGTGACTTGCTCCACATGAGTGTGCTTTTCACCATTCTCTCTCTTGTACTACTGCTGCAATTATGCTTCAGAATGACACACTTTGCACATATGCTTTCAAAGTACAACTGCACTCCCAACAGACCTATCATACACAAAGACAAGTCCACCTGCATGATGAAATCGACATTCAAAGTGCACTCCAAACCACTTGTAACCGTCTAGTATGCTATCAGCAGCACAATTTAAAAATGGGGAGTAGTCCAGGCATTCTGTGCAAAGATTGCCTGAACTTAAATTACATGTTTCTCCAATCTTCACCAAGCTGACCAGCAGAAGAGGAATGGTAATGTAATTTCAACAGGAAAGTAAGGGGAGGGTTAAACTGGCTGATCCCCCTCTTCAGCCAAGGGGTATCAGCCAGCACGTCAACGACTTAAATCTAGAAATAGTTTTCTAAGATCTACAGAGACACTCGGCGGAACACCTCAGCAAGCGAGAGTCCAAAAGTGGCAGGCTCAAACCCAGAACCTCAACTAATGGCTGATACCAAATGAGAGACTCCCCCCTGGGCACACAGAAAACTGGGCAACTTGGAAGGCGCTGAACAGACTGCGCTCTGGCACCACGAGATGCAGAGGCAACCTTCAGAAATGGGGCTACAGGGTGGAATCCTCGACATGCGAGTGTGGAGAAGAGCAAACCACTGACCACCTGCTGCAATGCAACCTGAGCCCTTCCACATGCACAATGGAGGACCTTCTTGCAGCAACACCAGAAGCACTCCAAGTGGCCAGATACTGGTCAAAGGACATTTAATCAACTACCAAACTCACAAATTTTGTATTTTTCTGTTTTGTTTTTTTTTTGCTTTGTTCTGTTAGAAATGTAATATAATCAACTGGTTGCACTGACACGATAAATAAAAATAAATGAATAGCAAGGGGAGCAGAAGAGCATGTGTGTGTGCATGGGCCTCAATCCATCACCTATGGCAGCCCAGTTATTACATGGCAACTAATTACTTTAAAAGAATGAAAGCAACACTGCTAAAAATGAAGACACTTTTGCTTTCATATTATTATAGAAAGCCTTATGACACCCCCCCCCCCAAAAAAAAAGCCAACAACAATCCAGCCAATCTTTGTATGTAAATAGGGAAGCAATGGTGTTGTGGTCAGCTCCTTTGTATTGATAACACTGGTAAATACACATTAGTTGCTTCAAATGTTAGCCCTGTTTCTGGGTATATTTGATCTGCTGATTCCAAAAATGGCACAAGTTTTTTCCCCTATTAGCTCCGGGTTTTGAAATACAGAACATATGCCATTTACCAGTTGCCATCTGCTCACCTATGATAACCATATCTAAGAAATGAGAGCTGATGGGGTCTAGCCAATGCAATGGATGCAAAGGTCCACGTGGACTAAACTGGGTTAGCCTTTGTAAGATTGTAAGTGTTGTTTGCTCAAATAAAGACAGGGTGAAAGGAAGCAACTACAAGCAATAAAGAAAATTGTGAAACAACTATGTGCATTTGCTTTGGTCTAACTCAGGGCCCTTCCACACAGTCCTATATCCCAGGATATCAAGACAGAAAATCCCCACATATATCTGCTTTGAACTGGGTTATCTGAGTCCACACTGCCATACATTCCAGTTCAAAGCAGATATTGTGGGATTTTCTCCCTTGATATTCTGTGATATAGGGCTGTGTGGAAGGGCCCACAGTTAAAACACCTCTTGCTTTGTGTTTCTCAGTCCAAATAGCGGGAGGACCGATCATTTCAAATTTTTAAGAACTGAGAAACACTCAGTTTTGCACATTTATCTCTTATGATTATGATTCATGAATGATGATAAAGAAAGCTTACCGAGAAGAGGCTCATTCGTAGGAAATGAAACAGTGCCCTGATTTTGCCTTGAAGTTTCCAAATCCTCTATCCCTGAAGGGTATAACTGAGTAAGTTCTTTATTTGGCACCTAAGATCACAGGGAAAAAAAATCAAACTGTTGATAATAATCAAATTACAGGTATTAAAAATGTAAATATTAATAATTACAGAAACATTAGCCAAATAAGGCAATTTTGTTTACAGAGAACTGATAAAATAGTAATTATTCTATAATTGCAAATCGAACGCTCACCTTTTTAACTTAAATTACATAGCCAAAAGTGAGGTGCGCATTAGATTAGATGGTGCATTACCATCGCACACATAAATCCGCCTCCCCCTTTGTTTCTAAATAACTGATCAGTTTAATTTCATCAGATGAAAGGGAAATACCTAGGTCAACTGCACTGATGGAAACACTTCTTCATTGTTATCCACAATCCCAATTTGTTAACACGGCTGTTAAGAACAGAAAATTTTATATGTGCACTCAAAGTAGGAGTGTGCAACTGTTGGGAGTTGGTAGACCTCCTTGATCCAAGGCATAATGCCTATTAGATTCAAGGAGGCAGTAGTAAGACCTCTGTTAAGGAAACCAGCACTGGATCCCATTCAACTGAACAACTACACGCCAGTATCAAATCTCCCCTTTCTGGGCAAGGCTCTAGAGAAGGCGGTGGTCTCGTAACTCAAGAGTTTTTCTGGAAGACACTGATTTTCTGGATCCATTGCAAACTGGTTTCAGGCCTGGTTATGGAACTGAAACGGCATTGGTCACCTTGGTGGATGATCTACAAAGAGAGCTAGACAGGGGGAGTGTGTCCCTGCTGGTTCTCCTGGAATTCTCAGCGGCTTTCGATACCATCAACCATGGTATTCTTCTGGGCCGTCTCCCTGGGATGGGGCTTGGAGGCACTGTCTGCAGTGGCTCCGATCCTTCCTGGAGGGCGGACCCAGTTGGTGGAGCTGGGGGACACCTGTTTGACTCCCTGGCCTATGTCCTGTGTGGTCTTTCAGGGTTCAATTCTGTCCCCCATGCTGTTTAACATTTACATGAAGCTGCTGGGAGAGATCATCCGGAGTTTTGCAGTTTGGTGTCAAATTTATGTGGATGACACCCAACTCCTTCCTACTTAATTCCAAGGATGCTGTTCTGGTCCTGAACATCAGTCATCAGTAATGGACTGGATGAGGGCCAACAAGCTGAAATTAAATCCAGACAAGAGAGAGGTACTCTTGGTCAGACATAAGGCGGATCAGGGTGTGGGATCACACCCTGTGTTGGATGGGGACACACTCCCCCTGAAGACACAGGCCCGCAATCTGGGGGTGCCCCTGGAACTCCAGGTGACAGCAGTGGCCAAGAGCGCCTTCACACAGTTAAAACTTCTGCACCAGCTGTGCCCACATCTTGAGAAGCCTGACTTGGCTATGGTAGTCCAAGCCTTAGTCACATCCTGTTTGGACTACTGCAATGCTCTCTACGTGGGGCTGCCTTTGAAGATAGTTCAGAAGCTTCAACTGGTCCAGAGATCAGCAGCCAGGTTACTAACTAAAGTGCCGTTCAGGGAGAGAACCACTCCCATGTTGCGGCAGCTCCACTGGCTGCCAGTCTGCTTCCAAGCTAAATACAAAGTGCTGGTTCTTACCTTTAAAACTTGGCTGTTCCAGTGTGCCTTCAATGACTGAATGATTCCCTGACCTGACCAAGCCCTGCAAATGCCCTTGCAAGCACTTTATTTCTCTTGTCAGTGAAATTAAATTTCACTAATCCCCCGGATCCCTTGACTAGATACATTAAACTGCTGTCTCACCTAGTGTTTTAATTTTTTAATTTGTTGGGAAATTGGTCCTGCCCACTGAGATTGATTTTATATTGTTGATGTGTTATTTATAATGTTTTGTTTCTGTATTTTATCTTATATTTTATTTTTTATTGCTGTGTTTTATTGTATATTGATGTATTGTATTGTGGGTTTGGCCTCATGTAAGCCGCCCCAAGTCCCCTTGGGGAGATGGTGGCGGGGTTTAAATCGTATTATTATTATTATTATTATTATTATTATTTATTAAAGCCCTTAACGGCTCGGGTCCACACTATTTAACAAACCGCATCTCCCACTATAGACCAACTCAGACACTGCGGTAAACGGAGGAGGCCCTCCTCTCAGTTCCACCCCCGTCCCAAGCACGGCTGGTGGGAACAAGAGAAAGGGCCTTCTCCGTGGCTACCGCTCACCTCTGGAACCCCCATCCTAAGGAGTTAAATATGATCCTTTCCTTCCCTGCTTTCAAGAAACAGCTGGCTTACTGGCTTACAAGGAGGAGGAGTAGTTGGTAATAATTACCTCTGATTAATAGTTACCCTCCGTATCCGTGCATTGCTCATCCCACCAGCTCAGCAGATGTCTTGAGCAATGATTAATCTATTTGCCCCAAGGAACTGGGAAATTGTTGTTTCTATTCAATGTTTGATGTTTTGTCTTACGTCTGTTATAACAGGCTGTGTTAATTTAATTTTAGTTGCTAAGTCATCATTCGTGTTTATATGTTGGATTGTTTAAATTTTGTTAGTATGGATGTATTGTTGTTGTATTTGGGCATTGAATGTCCCTACAGGACAGAAGTTTTATTATCATTATTCAACAAGAATCGGCAGAGATTTTTTTAGATTACAAAACAGCCTTTCCTGGACAGAAAAAAGCCAGGAGGGTGGCAAAACATGAGAAGGGAGGTCGGGCACACAAAATGTGAAATTAGGTCATCCCCGCGGAAATTAGGTCATCAACATCCCTCCTCTCTTTCAGAAGGAAGTTAAAAACCTGGATAAGGGACCAGATAGATACGCTTTGGGTACGCTGGCAGATAGATAAAAGACAATGACGACTAGAGTAGGAAAGGACAATGACAATGCTGGAATTGGCGAACGTTGGCGAACGTTGACCACAAGATGATTTTATTGCTGCTATTGTATTAATTTGATTGTTTTAACTAGTTATAATTGTTGTCGTTATATTGTATTTTGTATATTGTATTAAGTGAACTGTTGGGCATCGAATTGTGCCTTTTGTAAGCCGCCCTGAGTCCCCCCTAGGGGGTTGAGAAGGGGGGGGGGGGTAGAAGCAATCCAAATAAATAATAATAAATAAATTTGTCCAAGGAGCTGCTGATGTGGAGAGTTGTTCTTCATAGTTCCAAGCTTTGGCTGGCAAAAGAATGTCAGAGGTTTATTTCTTCCTCTATTAATGGACCCCTTCATACACTGATGCATACAGCATGAGAAAGAAGTTAGAGAAATTTCAGCTACTGAGATTCAAAGCACAAATAATTCTTAATGGTCCATAGTTTACGCATACTCACGTTACTACAGCTTACTGTTAAAACTGGGGGAGAAGACTTCCTCATAAGATCCGATGGACTTAATTCACCAGTAGATGGAGAAGTACGTGACCTACACACACATAAAGTAACATTTAATCCTCGCTAAAATGCCTTCAAATGATGATTTGAAATAGTACCTCTGAAACAGGACTTGATATTTTTCATTAGCACTGTCATGTTATAAACAAAGATAAAGATATTAACTTAAATATATACTAGGCAATTCTGTTTGCCCGGAAAGAATCGTAAAGTGAAATTAAAGCGGCTGAAAAACTGCTCCCACCTAAGCTGTTTGGCATTGAGTCGCCATGGGGTTTGCAATGAAAAGGATGCTGGAACCCCTCCAAAAATGGCACCATGTTAACAGGGCCATATGCACTGCAAACAATTCTTTCTGTGTCTGAATTTTGTCTTGATAGATAGGCGCAAGGTACCAACTTTATCTCTGAAGGTTTTCGCAACAAAATACACAAGACAAGTCTAAGGAATGGCCTATTTTCCTGGCTTATTTGGAAAAGGAAAGCAATACAACTTTGTTGGTCAGGAATTTTGGACATGACATTTGTTTACTGGTTGACTCATAAATTTATGGTAAAGGAAATGATACTTGTTCAGGCCTTGGTGGTGGGGTTATGTGTTTGTAAAATATTCATTGTTTCGTGTTCTGTTTACACTTTAAGCTGTTAATGTATGTAAATAAATTATTTTTTTTTAAAGGTTGGGTAGCACTGCTATATAGCAATAACCATCTAGAAACAAAGAAGATTTAAGAACCAGACTACATTCACTATATTGGTAACCAGGGGGAAAAGAAGCTCAATTTGATAGTTAATAAAACATGGTTTTAATTTGCCAAATACAGTCCTTTGTGCCACAATGCCTTCCATACTTAGTTAAGTACAGGGGCAGAACATTAACAGAAGTACTTGAAATATCAAGCTAGCACCTGTTTTATATTATTAAGATGCTTAAACAAGGGCAAATTCAATTTTAACTTCCATTTTTCGAAAGTAAGATTGATTCAAGAGTTTTAAAGCGAAACTGTATGATTGCTTACCTTTGTAAATCTAAGACTTCTTTTGCAATCTCAGTTCCTATGCTTCCAGCCCCAAGTACAGTTCCTATAGACATCCCTGGTACACTGAGGAATGATGGCTTCTGTGTATCTATGTTTTCAGAGAAAAAGAGAAGTTGTGTATTTTGGTTAAATACCGGTTTACAGCCCATATCTGTGTATTTAAGGAACTGATGTTGCTTCACTTCACTTGCATGCCTTTGCCATTTTCATTTGCAATCCAATGGCAGGTATTGCCTTTTTTTTTAACTGACCTGACCCAATAATTGTCTGAAAACTAGGATAAAAATTACAACAAAATGATAATCAGTATAAGGGTAGCTTACTCCCATTGAGGTATAATGAGATACTTTAACTTAAGTGCAGACACAATGCAATTTCAAGTGAAGCAAATGAATTAAGTTATTTTGGCTCACAGACTAGGTTGCTATACTCCTCTGTTGATTCAGTTTACTGGGATTTATGGTATGCCCCCAAGTGCCTGTTTGGACTCTCATCTGGCCCAGATGCCAGGCGTCATTTTTTTTAAAAAGCAAGTGTCTCTTCTGTTTAATGGCATTTATCTTTATTTTCCTCTGAATTTCCCCCTGTGAATCAGGTGGCAGTCACTCTTAGTGACTTCTTGTCATATTTTGATAGATCTGTAGCTTTCTCTCACAAATAAAAATCTGCTGGTAAAAAAATGCAACATAGTGATCTGATAGGAATAAAATAGCAATACAAGTGTATATGCATGGCAACAGATTGCTGTTATTATAATTTACCATATATTTTTATTGTTTTTGCGTGCCTTCAAGTCATTTCTGACTTATGATGACTCAGATCACAGGGTTTTCTTGGAAAAATTTGCTCACAAGGGGTTTGCCTTTGATTTCCTCTGATGCTGAGAGAGTGTGACTTGCCCAAAATCACCCAGTTGATTTCCATGGCTAATCATGGATTTGAACCCTGATCTTCCAGTATGCTACGATCTCATCACATTAGGTCTGGGCTCCGTCCTAGGACCCTTCCAGGATGAAGCCCATCGGAGCCCATCACTTGACGCATGGCTACTTCCAGTGGAAGCTGTAGGATGGAGCTCTGACAGCACAGGAGGCTTCCCATCTTCTCATTTGGTATACCGGGAAAATAATGGGGTGAATCCAGGATGACAGGTTCCCTCACTGCCTGCCGAATATGCTTCACTGCCCCATGGATGTCCCTTCTTTCCCCTGGCTTGAGGACATCAATGTAATGAGGTCCCTAGTGTGACATTCAAACCACTACATTATGCTGACTTCTTCTCTGATTGTCATAATAAAATTAAATAAAAGTTCAAATTAATGCTACAAACAACTCAAACTACTATACTATTACTACTAATGGTAGCAGTATTTTATTTCTTGAATTTATATCTTGAATTTGTCACGCAATGCCATTTCAGTGCCAAAGCAAGGTCTAAATGCTAGGCTGAAATATATCCAAGTAATTAACATAATTCAGTAGTGTCTTGAATTCATTCAGGACTACCATTCCCTTCAAACATTTTGCTCCAAAATAGGATAGTACTGATCAGTCAATCCAGTTTTTTAAAGTAAGTGTGACTGCAGAAAAGACATGAAAGATATATATTAAAAAAATGATTTGCCAGAGCCATTGTTATCCTTCACAAAAGTTTACGACAGCATTCAGTGTTTTGAACTCTAGACCGCTAAGATCAAAGTGAAATCCAAATGTTGATTTAAACCCAAACCAAGCATTTAAGAGCACTAAACAAAAGTCAGATGCAATGTTTGTGAGATCGGTTGCATTGCATAGCAGGATATATACTATGCAGTTCATAATAAATTCTTCTAGGATTGCTATTTGGAGGCTTTATAGAAATGTTGCTCTCTTGAAACCAGTAAACGTATTCAATAGGTGTAAGAGACAGTAAGAAACACTTGTGAGGATTTGGGGAGACAGGAAGCTATAATTGGCAATGTATAGAAAAGTAGGCCACGAATATAATGCACTTGCAAGAGCGAAGGGGAGTGACAGTGTGTTTACAAAGGAAAAAGCCGAGTGGAAGGAGGGAGAGAAAGAATCCACGTTTGAAGGAAAGGAAAGAATCAACGTGACTTAAAAGAAGGGCAAAATAAATAAAATAAAGCATATTACATATAAGTTATATCCACAATCAAGAAGCAACTGTGGGACTGTACATTAAGAATTAATTTGACAGAAAAATAATCAGTTGAACTATTAATTAAGAAATTGATTGAGAAGCAAATACATAAAATACTAAAGAGCTATGCATATAATTAATTAACTAACTGCAATGAGGAAAGCAAGCCTTGACTGACCTTGAGGTAGAGATTGTTTTGTCTATGAAGTGCGGCAGACATAATAAAAGCTAAAACCAGGAAGAAGCAGGAGGGGGAGAAAGGAGAAGGTGGAGAAAGACGACAGAGAGGAAGTGATGCTACAGAGAGGTTATGGAGCTAGGCCAGACTCAGTAAAGGAAAGATACCAGGGATGCCACGAGAAAAAAGAGAGGAGGACCGGAAGAGAGAAGAATCTGAATACAGCTGAAATAAGACGTAAAACAATGGGGCGAGGTCAACAATAAGACGAAAGATGTGTGGTGTAAGGCCTAAGAAGAAGATTTATAGATTAACTAAAAGTCCACAACCCGGAAGGAAAGAAGAAGGATTAAAGGAATAAGGATAAAACGAGACAAAGATACCGTGTGGGAACAACATAAGGTAAAAGGTAGTCCCCTGACGTTAAGTCCAGTCATGTCTGACTCTGGGGTGTGGTGCTCATCTCCATTTCTAAGCCGAAGAGCCAGCGTTGTCCGTAGACACCTCCAAGATCATGTGGCCGGCATGACTGCATGATAGAGCGAAGAAATGAATAGAACCAGGAAGCCTTTATAAAGGAAAGTGAAGGAGGCTTGGAAAGGGCTTTAAAGAAGATGGAAGAAGAAATGAAGAAAGCAGATAAACGGCAACTGAGGGGAGGGGAATAGAGAAATAAAGGAAAATAAAGGAAGATATAAAAAGAGAGACAAAGGACCCGGGAAGGAACAAACGGAGCAGACAGATGACAGGACAGAGACTTATCTATAAATGACCAAAAAGGGGTAAATAAGTGACTGCCAAAGTAAGTGGGACAGACTACAACTGTATACTAGAAGTGGACAAAATAAGAAAACCATCCAGGGGTGAGTAACGCTGAAGTCAAAGAGACTTAGAAGCAAGATAGGGTAACAAGAGGATCTAACATCCAACTTTTGGAAAATTGTAGTGACAATAAAAGGAGAGATCAGATTAGTCTGACATGATTTGTTTTTGATAAATCCATGTTGACTATTAGCAATGACCGCTTTTGTTTCTAAATGTTTGCAGTTCACTTCCTTAACAATCTTTTCCAGAAACTTGCCTGGTATCGACGTGAAGCTGACCGGATGGTAATTGTTGAAGGACTTCATGGCTGGAATCCCTAGGTTCTTGTGGGTTTTTTTCGGGCTATAGGGCCATGTTCTAGAGGCATTTCTCCTGACGTTTCGCCTGCATCTATGGCAAGCATCCTCACTACCTCTGAGGATGCTTGCCATAGATGCAGGCGAAACGTCAGGAGAAATGCCTCTAGAACATGGCCCTATAGCCCGAAAAAACCCACAAGAACCTACGGATGGTAATTGTTTGGGTCATCCTTTTTGATGACCCAAACAATTACCGTCCAGTCAGCCTCATGTGCATTGAAAAATAAACAAAGAAACCAGGAAAATAAGGAAATTCAGCAGAAAATAGAAACTATGGAGAAAGAGCTTAAAATATATCCAAAGAATAGTAAACTAAAGCAGGAATTGACGCTCCTTAACAAGACAGAACAATTAGCGAAGGAGATGAAGTTTATTAAACAGTATCATTTCCAGAACGCAAATAAGCTGGGAAAATGGCTGACGAGGAAGATGAGGAAAAAGAAGCAAATGCAATGCATCACTCAGATAAACGTGGGGAATAAAATATACATGATAGATGGAGAGATTCTAACTCAATTCAACAGATTTTATGGTAAATTATATAAGAATTATAAAGAAGAAGTTGTTCACTACTTAGAAGAACAAAATATTAAAAGATTGTCGGATTCAGAGAGAGAAGTATTAAATAAGGAAATTTCAGAGGAAGAAATAGAAAAAGCAATAAAGAAACTGGACTCAAGTAAGGCCACAGGGCCAGACGATTTGACAGCAATTTACTATAAGACATTAAAGGAGAAATTGATACCCTATTTAAAAGATAATGAATCAAGCTCTCCACACAAAGAAGATACCAAATTCATGGAAATCTGCAAACATTGTGATGAGACCTAAAGAAAATACGGACTTAACCAATGTGAAAAATTACAGGCCAATCTTACTGTTAAATACAGACTATAAAATCTTCACCAATATACTGGCAGAAAGACTGAAAATCTTCCTCTTAAATTGGATAAAGGAAGAACAAACAGGCTTTTTGCCAAACAGGAAAATCAAACAGAATGTAAGAAATATAACTGACATAATAGAATATTATAAAACCCATAGTCAGAAAGAATTAGCAATTATGTCTATTAATGCCAAAAAAGCATTTGACAATCTGAACTGGGACTTTTTAAAGCTGTTACTGAAAGAAATGGACACAGGTCATTATTTTATAAATGCAATTCAAGGAATCTATGAAGAGCAAGAGGCCAATATTTGGATAAACGGACAGAAGGCAAATAAAATAAAGACTGAAAAAGGAACTAGACAAGGTTGTCCACTGTCCCCACTTATAATCATTCTAGCATTGGAGTTACTCTTGAATAAGATAAGGGAAGATGAAAATCTCAAAGGGGTGAGAATTAATGAAGAGTCTTACAAACTACAAGCATTTGCTGACAATCTTATATATATGGTGGAAGATCCCATAAGCAATGGGGATAAGTGGCTAAAGAAAATTGAAGTATCTGGAATCAAGATAAATAAGGAGAAATCGAGGATTTTAACCAAAAATATGAACAAAAAAGGCGAGAAGAATTGGGAGAAATTACAGTGGGGAAAGACAGTGGGGAAAATCAACTATTTACACATAAGTATTATGGCCAAGAATTCGCAATTATTGCATAAAAATTATGAAAGTAAATGGAAAGAAATGAGGAGTAACTTAAAGAAGTGGACCTCCTTAAACTTATCCCTATCAGTAATTAAAACAAACATCCTTCCAAAAATGATGTACTTATTTCAGAATCTGCCAATAAGAATGAAATAAAGATTTCATTAAATTCGTTTGGAAGGGTAAAAAGCCAAGGATTAATTTCACAAATTTGACAGATGAATGGGAAAGAGGAGGATTTTGATTACTGGATTTAAGCCTACACTTTGAAGCAAGCTGCCTTAACTGGATAAAACACTGGGTAACTTTACAAAACAAAAAGATCTTGACATTGGAAGGACATGATCTGAGGGCAGGTTGGCATGTGGATTTGTGGAACGAGAGGAAGAGAGTGGAAAAGAACTTTGGAAATCATTTAATACACCCAGCCCTGCTAAAAGCTTGGGACAAATACCAGAAAAGACTATGCAGCAAAATCCCATTATGGGTATCACCTCTTGAGGCATGTCAACGAAGGGAATTAGAGAATGGCCTATGCATCATCTTATTTTAAACAAAGGCAAAGAATTTAAAATAAAGACTCAAGAAGAGTTGAGAGGAAACTTTGGGAAATTATCCTGGTTCCAGTACCGTCAAATTAAAGAATATTACAATAAGGACTGTAAAGTAGGATTTGAAGGCCGATCGGGTGTCCGCGCTAAGTCCGGCGTCAAAGAGACGCAATCAACTTGGGATAATGTGGAATAGAAAACTAAAAGATACCTATGTTTATGATTTAAAAGAGAACTGGCTAAAAATGATGTATCAATTTTACATGACCTCAAAGAAGATAGCAAAATTTACTAAATTTACTAAAGACTATAATCGCAATTGTTGGAAGTCTGAGAAACAAGATGGATCTTTTTGCCACATGTGGTGGTCATGTGACAAAGCAAGAGGATTTTTGAAAGAAATTCTTGAACTATACCAAAAAATATTGAAAGAAAAATTCCCAATGAATATTTTTATTAGGGATGAATTGGAATGCAAATAAAGACAAACTCTTCACAAACGCAACCACGGCGGCGAGGTTAGTCTATGCCTGAGTATGGAGACAAAAACACTTTCCATCAAGAGAAGAATGGATAGAGAAAATGCTAGAAATTATGAGCATGGTTATTATTAGTCTTCAAGTCACAAGGTAGATATATAAAAATAGCAGACTGGACTCCTTTCACAGAATGGTTGAAGGAAAATAAAGTAAAATTATTAATCTAAAAAGAAGAAAGCTGACAGAAGATGCCATCACTGGAGATACAACAAAAAGCAACAAAAAGGTCCCCTTTTGACACATTCCTAGGGATTACCCCCCTCCTTTTCTTTTTTATCTTCTCTTTTCCCCCTTTACTATTCCTCAACTACCCCTCCCCTCCTCCCCTATGTTTTACCCTTTTCTCACTTTTTAAATGTAACTTGGAAACTTATAATAAAATATTATATACAAAAAAGAGAGAAAGAAAACCAATATCTGTTAAAGAAGAAAAACAACATCTGTCCAAAAAATGACAGTCAGGTTGTTTTTGCTGGAAAAACAAGCTGTCAGCCATTTACAACCATTTAGAACAACAACCGCAAGAAATTTGTTAAATAAGAGGCCTTTCTTACTATCCAAAAATGTGGTAGTCTGGTTACCTGCCTCTTTCTCTGAGGGATGGAGAAGACGGTGTATTGGCAGAATGGCAGATTTGCAGGGAACGCAATCTGACCCACGTTTGATTCTCTTCTCCAGGAGACAAAGGAAGGGATGGTAATGTATACATGTAGAGTGAATGTTTATGTGTGTGAATGTGGAGTAAAATGTAATATCCCCTTTATTTGGGTAACCAATGGCACTAGCTTAGTCAGTGTGTCTAATTTCTTTCTCTGTAAAGTACTTTGTCTCACTAGAAATGGTATAAAATAACCTTTTTAATGTTTAAAAAGTATTCATGACAATGTCACCAAAATACAGCATAATGCAATGATAGAACTCATTTGGCTTTTATATTTATGCTTTATGTAATTATTTTCAAAATAAGAAAACACACTTGCCTTCTGACGACAGGGAACTGCAGGGTAGTAGTAGTTCTTCATTTGATTCATTATGACCTCTAAAAAGTATCAACATAGATATAAATAACTTCTTCAGTTCAGCAGGCTACAATGGGAGACTAACGAAGATAAAAAGCATTCTCACATGTTGAAGAAGTGGCTAAAAAGTGACCTCATTGAATTAGCTTATCTCCCTTGCTTCTGTTACAAGGAACTGAATTGTGCATTATACAGGTCAGTGCCCCAGTATGTACTACCATCACCTTAACATTTAAAGGTTACAGTTTTCCAGAGCACACTAAAAGGCATCTATCTAAAAAATGTTTGGGAGAGAGCAAGTAGTCTTCAGAATCCACTGTGTACCCACAAGTCAGTGTATTTATTATACTTACTGAACCCAAAGTATGTGCGTTTGCGTGTGTGTGTGTGTGTGTGTGTGGGGGGGGTCCTCAGGAAAATACCAAATGTTATCCAGCAAGATTCATGTAAGTTGATGCAACAGAAAATAAAATATTTAAATGCTTCAATAAAATATAACATCTCTTGCTAGACAGCATGAAAACCAACAGTTAGCTTAGAAACAAGGATAGGCATCAAAATAGTGGGGCTCTAGCATACAAAGTTATTTCCACAGTAGGAAGATTAGCAAGACAGAATTAAACTATGCTAAACAATTCAAACATAAACAGGAGAATAATGACTTCCATTAGCAAGCCAAAGCTAATTACTAGCAAATGCTTTTCTTCTTATATTTTATATATAGACAATTTATAAAAAATATAAAAAATGCAATTTATAAAAAATATTAATTTTGAATAACTTACAAAACGACTGTATTGATTGACACAATATACTCCAGTTCTTTGGTCCATGGATTTATGAAACTAAACCACTGACTTTTTAATGTTACAAACGAGCCATCTTTTGCTTTGAATTTATAGAAATCTGTGAATATTTTTTCTTTGCTCTGCAGCACTGGAGGGAGAAAATATATGTAAAGAAAACAAATAACATATTATTCATTATTAGTCTCTCAATTTTAAACACTGTTCTCCTCTATGTATTACACTGATGACGTATGGATTGCTTACCTGTAACCACATAAGCAACCCATACTTCTCCATCGTGGTCAACTGTGAATCGCACATATGGTAGACTAGTGAGCTAATAACCTTGGCTGGTGGGCATCATGCCACTGCAGAGAAGAAGACTGCCCATCAAAAGGCCACATCTCTCTTGGAGGAAGTACCCAACTTATAAAGAGACACAATAGTCAATGGTGTGGACCAAGTTGCTGCCTGGCAAACAGCATCCAGTGGGACACCTCTCAGGAAGGCCGTAGATGTAGCCGCTGACCTCATTGAGTGATGGTGGACCCCAACCAGCCAGAACACAATTTCTAAGCTCCAGGTAGGGGTAACTAGGACTACAAGGCTTAATGTTTTTAAACCCTTTGAGACCCAGAGATATTAATGGGTCTGAGAAACACAACGATAACCCAGCCTTCCTCCTGTACCAGGAAATAGCAGCTAAATAACATTTCAGAAAAGGTAGATAGGCAGATTCTGAGAGAAACACCAAAAAATCTAAAATTAAAGATGTAGGAGCCTTCGGGGGAATCCAATCCTTTTTTAGTCACAAACTTAGAAAAACACAACCACTTATACACATAGGACCACCTTGTAGACACCCTTTGGGCAGCTTCTATTATGGCCCTGAGTTTCGAACAAGGATGAAAGGAGAACTATAGGTTGGGCAGAATACGCGAGGCCATCAACTTCAATCTGTGAACATCCGGGTAGAGAACCCAGTTGCCCTACGAAAGGAGGAGATCCAACCTGTTCAGGAACCTTCTGAATATTCTCTTGCACATTTCCAGAAGAAGAGTGAACCACTGTTGGCGTGGCCACCGTGGAGAATTGAGGCAGTAGCCCCTCCCACTGGCTATATATACTGTATGGGGATAGTGGGAAGGGCTACTGCCTAAAATTGTCAAACATATCAATATCAATATCCTCTTATCAATAATCCCAAAAAGGGAATATGCATATCTTAAATGACAGATGCTTGGCATGTGAACTGAATAGTGTTTGGCATCTGAAATGAAACATTAGTAAAAATGTAAGTTTAATACAGGTAAAACCAGGGAGAGAAAAGCACATTACATTTTTAATTATTTTAATTATTTATTTATTTATTTGACTTGTATACCGCCACTCCCAATTTGGCTTGGAGCGGTTTACAACAGTAGATTTAAACAATACAACCAACTTTAAAATACAATAAAAACGAGAACCGACATAGTCCCGAGTTATTCACCCATCGAAAGCTTGTCGGAAAAGAAAGGTCTTACAGGCTTTCCGAAAAGCAAGTAGCTCTCGGATGGTTCGGGTTTCAGTATTAGACTACAGTATTGACACTATAAACCTCTAAACCTCAGAAGCAAGTTGGTCCATCATTTATACTTGGAATTTTTGCCAACTGATTACTTGATTTAATATGAAAATGAAAAATATAAATATAAAAGAATAGCTACCTCTCAATCTGGCTATATATACTGAATGGGGATAGTGGGCAGGGCTACTGCCTAAAAGTGTCAAACAGTGTCTAGAATATTCCGAAGCTGTCTACACAGGCACAGAATAAACCATATGTGCAATTCACAGTTGATCATGAGGGAGAAATTGTATTTTTCTAGCCTTAGGAATGTAAAGACTTTATTATCTGTTTCAGATTTCAATATATTTCAGTATAGAACCTCTGATGCAGTTCTAGCCAGAATTATACTATCAATGTAACTTCCTTCAAGAAACTAATCAAGATAACAGTGATTTATTTTCAATGCTATTTGTATCTCTGTCTTGTACCCACTCAGTACAACAGGCTACAAACTTAAAATGTTGATTAAACTACAATGGGCAATACAACACTGTGGAGTAACTGCTGTGTTATACCTGCTTTGTGTTTTTCAGTTAGATGACTGTGATCATCTTGGTGGAAGTATTCATAACAAGACGTTCCTAGAAGCTCCTGTGGCAAATATCCTAGAATTGCTGTGGCACTATAAAGAAAAATAAACACACTACAGGTTTTAGCTGAAATTATTTTCTTTAAATTAGCAGCCTCATATCAATAATCCCAAAAAGATATTATCTTAAATGACAGATGCTTGGCATTTGAACTGAATAGTGTTTGGCATTTGAAATGAAACATTAGTAAAAATGTCAATTTAATACATTTAAAACCAGGGAGAGAAAAGCACATTACATTTTTTATCAGACTACAGTATTGACACTATAAACCTCTAAACGTCAGAAGCAAGTTGGTCTATCATTTATACTTGGAATTTTTGCAAACTGATTACTTGATTTAATATGAAAATGAAAAATATAAATATAAAAGAATAGCCACCTCTCAATCTAGCAATTACTTATCTAACAATTCCTGTGCCTTGAGGACTCCAAAAGATTCTACAAAACAATGATCGCTTAATGAAAGCTGTCCAGAATATGCACACTCAATACTGAAAAACTTTAGCTGATTTTAAGGGATATTTTCATAAAACACTTCTTAAAAACACACAAAAATACTTACCGCTGGTCTACAAAAACAAATTTCCCATCCATGGCAAAGCGTGTTACAAACTCTGTTGGCTTGACCTTTATCTCACTGCTTTTTTGAGGAACAGTATAAGGATGTAATCGCCCAATTGCAACAAGACAGTTGAAGCTACTGCTGTCTTTTTCAGCATCTTTTTCTTCTTCAACTCCCACCTCAATAGGAGGCCAGCTCTTCAAGTACCCCGTGCAATGAACAGTACAGTACTTTTTATGATCTAAATTAGTCAGAACACAAAACAAATTTTCATTTTCTTATTCAGAAACATCAATTGCTCTTCTGCTTTATGCTCACCTAAAGGCAAGAGTCCTACACATCTATACATAAGATATAGTGTTAACTATTTGGGTTGAGCTTACCTGTGGAATCATACAAAAGATTTGGGAAGGTAAGTCACAGGTGCTGGCTATTAAAAGCCAGCACATATAAGAAGAAAACAGTTTAGTAATAGAGACTTCCCTATATAATATGTTTTTATTTCAAACATGATATAAATCACATAGAGTTAAATCATACACAGAAGGAAGTTTACATTGTCTTTAGAGGGAGCCTCCGGTGGCACAGCGGGTTATACCACTGAGCTGCTGAACTTGCTGACTGAAAGGTCAGTAGTTCAAATCCAGGGAGTGGGGTGAGCTCCCGCTATTAGCCCCAGCTTCTGCCAACCTAGTTCAAAACATGCAAATGTGAGTAGATCAATAGGTATCGCTTTAACAGGAAGGTAATGGTGCTCCATGCAGTCATGCCAGCCACATGACCTTGGAGGTATCTATGGACAATGCCGGCTCTTCGGCTTAGAAATGGAGATGAGAACCACCACCTGTTGACATTAAGTAAAGTCAGACACTACTTAATATCAACAGGAAACATTTACCTTTACTTTACCTCTTTAGAGATTGCATTAGCAGGTGCCCAGTTTAGCAGGCTCACATAATTGTTGCTGGACTATATTATTTAAAACTATATAACCAATATTTACCCCTCCACATTTGCGAGTAAGACTTTTGCAGATCTCATTTTTCATAGATTTCATTAACAGATTATCTCTACAAACATGGTCAATTTTTGCCAGAATCATGCTGGATGACCCCATATGCTGAGAGACTGGGCCCTTGTGACTCAGGACACATGGAGACAACAGAACATGTGCTTCTTCAGTGCCTGTTCTATAGAGATATTTGATCTCATCTCATTACACAATGGCTCTGGACAATTTTACATCTCCCTGCTGCTTTCAGATATGAACTTGGCTATAAGCTATAATATTGCCAAGTTCTGCACAGCAGCCATTTAAATCCGGCAGTCAATGATGAATAGAACCAGCTAGTACAAGTCAAGATTTCATACTAGCAGAAAATTGGGATTATAATCTTTTTAATTATAGTAATGGATGTTGCTCCCTTCTCTGTCTGACTGGACTTCCCTTCCCTGTGCTACATGAAGACCCCAATCCCCTCCCTTCAGACACCCTCCCTTTTAAATCCATTCATTTTGATATACTCTTATCTTGATGTTCTGGAAATGATGCACTTGTTTTAGGGTTTTAAGAGTTTTAAAATATTGAAGTTTTAGAGTTTTAAATCTCTCGACCCCTAGACCTGATGTGTTTGTGCGGGACTGTGTCCCTCTTCTCATGATCTGGTTAATGACTGTAATAAAGTACACTTGAACTTGAACTACTTGAAGTACTGAAATTTTAATTTTAGTTTTAAATTGGGTCAGATGTCGTAAATCTTGCTAACTGAAAGGTTGATAGTTCAAAGCCAAGGCAGGGTTAGCTCCTGACCTTCAGTCCAGCTCCCTGCTCACCTAGCGGATCAAAAACAGCAGTGTGAGTAGATAAACAGGAACCGCATTAAAGTGGGGAGGTATTTTAGGCACGGCTTTCAATCAGAAAAAGGAGGAAAAGTTTACGAACGAAGAATGTTCATTGGTAAGGAGATGGAGTGACAGCACTTCCCTGTGGCCGGAACCAAAAACAGCCTCCAAAGATGCAAACAAAAAACAAACAAAAACACACACACACACCCCAATGAGGAAAAGCCTGTATAATATCTCTATCTGTTGTCTGTTTTGTTATTGTATAGGTAAAGGTAGTCCCCTGACACTAAGTCCAGTCATGTCTGACTCTGGGGTGTGGTGCTCATCTCCATTTCTAAGCCGAAGAGCCAGCATTGTCCGTAAACACCTCCAAGGTCATGTGGCCGGCATGACTGCATGGAGCGCCGTTACCTTCCCGCTGGAGCGGTACCTATTGATCTACTCACATTTGCATGTTTTCGAACTGCTAGGTTGGCAGAAGCTAGGGCTGACAGCGGTATAATCGGCATTAAATGTTTGCCGTATATGTGTTCTGTGATCCGCCCCGAGTTCCATTCGGAATGAGAAGGGCGAAATATAAATACTGTAAATAAATAAATACATACATACATACATACTAATTGTGAAACAGAAGCAGGATGTGCTTTGAAAATTACAAAAAAATCTACAGAAATCAATGTTCTGTTGAAAATGATTCAACCATATCGGTGTGCAAAATATGACTGAAGCCATTGCTAACTGTACTTTAAGCATTGTCCCTGCTACACTTTTGGTAAAATGCCATTCATCTCCTATTCGGACTAAACACTCTGTTCGCAAAATACCCAACCCACACCTGTAAGTAATATGTTATGCACAAAGAGTACAGTATACACAAATATCCAGATTAGTTTCCAATCACTCTTAGACGAAACTATATTACATGTATTTCCTTCATAATTAAGCAGATGTGTTGTTGTTGTTCATTCGTTCAGTCGTCTCCGACTCTTCGTGACCTCATGGACCAGCCCACGCCAGAGCTCCCTGTCTGCCGTCACCACTCCCAGCTCCTTCAAGGTCAGTCCAGTCACTTCAAGGATGCCATCCATCCATCTTGCCCTTGGTCGGCCCCTCTTCCTTTTGCCTTCCACTTTCCCCAGCATAATTGTCTTCTCTAGCTTTGCTGTCTCCTCATGATGTGGCCAAAGTACTTCAACTTTGTCTCTAGTATCCTTCCCTCCAATGAGCAGTCGGGCTTTATTTCCTGGAGGATGGACTGGTTGGATCTTCTCGCAGTCCAAGGCACTCTCAGAACTTTCCTCCAACACCACAGCTCAAAAGCATCGATCTTCCTTTGCTCAGCCTTCCCAAAGGTCCAGCTCTCACATCCGTAGGTTACTACAGGGAATACCATGGCTTTGACTAGGCGGATCTTTGTTGCCAGTCTGATGTCTCTACTCTTTACTATTTTATCGAGACTGGACATTGCTCTCCTCCCAAGAAGTAAGCGTCTTCTGATTTCCTGGCCACAGTCTGCATCTGCAGTAATCTTTGCGCCCAGAAATACAAAGTCTGTCATGGCCTCCACATTTTCTCCCTCTATTTTCCAGTTGTCAATCATTCTTGTTGCCATAATCTTGGTTTTTTTGATGTTTAGCTGCAACCCGGCTTTTGCACTTTCTTCTTTCACCTTGATTAGAAGGCTCCTCAGCTCCTCCTCGCTTTCGGCCATCAGAGTGGTGTCATCTGCATATCTGAGGTTGTTAATGTTTCTTCCAGCAATTTTCACCCCAGCTTTGCATTCATCCAGCCCCGCACATCGCATGATGTGTTCTGCATACAAGTTAAAAAGGTTGGGTGAGAGGATGCAGCCTTGCCGTATGCCTTTCCCAATCTTGAACCAGTCTGTTGTTCCATGGTCAGTCCTTACTGTTGCTACTTGGTCCTTGTACAGATTCCTCAGGAGAGAGACAAGGTGGCTAAGCAGATGTATTTCCTTCATAATTAAGCATAATTAAGGCTGTATTGTCGAAGGCTTTCACGGCCGGAATCCATGGGTTGTTGTAGGTTTTTCCGGGCTATATGGCCATGTTCTGGAGGCAATTTTTCTCCTGACGTTTCACCTGCATCTATGGCAAGCATCCTCAGAGGTAATGAGGTCTGTTGGGACTAGGAAAAATGGGTTTATATATCTGTGGAATGACCAGGGTGAAACATGGTTTCTTCCTTTCTGTTGAAATTGTCCACATGCTTGTGGATTTCAGTGGCTTCTCTGTGTAGTCTGACATGGTGGTTGTGACAGTGGTCCAGCACTTCTGTGTTCTCAAATAATATGCTGTGTCCAGGTTGGTTCATCAGGTGCTCTGCTATGGCTGATTTCTCTGGTTGGAGTAGTTTGCAGTGCCTTTCATGTTCCTTGATGCGTGTCTGGGCGCTGCGTTTGGTAGTCCCTATGTAGACTTGTCCACAGCTGCATGGTACACGGTAGACTCCTGCAGAGGTGAGTGGATCCCTCTTGTCCTTTGCTGAACGTAGCATCTGTTGGATTTTCTTGGTGGGTCTGTAAGTGGTTTGTATGTTGTGTTTCCTCATCAGTTTCCCTATGCGGTCAGTGGTTCCCTTGATGTATGGCAAGAACACTGGCTATTGCGTTATCAAAAATATCAGATGATTAATTAAAGCATTTCTTATATTGTTTCAGGTATTTTGATTGTAGGTATTAAATTTATAACTTTATTGTCTAATTTAGCAAGGATAATTATATTTTCAAATACAGCATTTTGTCTTCATCACAATTTAACCCACATAAAGGATTGTTCTTCAATAATACCTTTCTTTGTTGAGTTTGGCAGTGACTCCTTTTCCACCTTGATGTTCTTTCTTGTACACTTTATTCGACAAAAAAATGAACGCCGAGCACCAGAATTCAGACGAGAGGATCCTGCTTGAAAATCCGTGTGAATTTGCAAGCCCGCTGTTAAAATTAACAAGAGTAGAACACACAAAAAGCATCCTGTCATCATTTTAAATTAGTATGTTTTAACATGTTTTCATGATATTCTCTGATTGCATCAAAACATTTACTTCACGTGAATATTCAATGATATTTAAAATTAAGGTTATTAAAATAAAATAAATGGTTGTCAGATTTGGTTGCTGAAGAATGAGGAGATATTTTACAGCTGCTATAGCCAATTTTAAACACGACAAAGTATAATTTAATTGAACTTAAATAACACTAGTCATGTTTTTTCATATATATATGGCTAAAAAGTCCCCCAGTTCTGGGGAAGATTTTGTGATGAACTAGGGGCCACAAAATGGAGAGAATTCTACACACCCTGATCTGAAAAAATTGATAGGGAGTACCTCTGAATTCTGTCAAAAGTATAAGCAAACATTCATGGATTTGGTCACACAATCGAAACATATTACCATATACAGAAATGCATCAACTAAGATAAATCACAATACCCACACGTTTTTTGGTGAATACTTACTTTTAGTATCTATTAGTTTCTCCCTTGGCAAAGCATCTGAAGCTGAAAGTTGCTCCTTGACTTTGGCAACATCTTTTGGATGCAGATAGTCAAAAAGACTTTGGTCTATCAAACTGGCCTGATGGAATACAAAATATTATTAGATATAAGCTGTGAATCCTGCAAAAATGGGAAGTCTGATCTGGCCACAGTGGTCCACGCCCTTGTTACCTCCCGAATAGATTACTGCAATGCACTATGTCGGGTTATCTTTGAAGAGTGTTCAGAAATTCCAAATAGTACAATGGGCGGCAGCCAGATTACTCATTGGAGCGACATACAGGGAGCACACACCCCCTGTTGTGTCAGCCCCATTGGCTGCTGGTCCACTTCCAAGCACAATTCAAAGCGCTGGTCTTGGTCTAGAAAACCCTATACAGTTCTGGCCCAGCTTACTTGTCCAAACGTATCTCCCTCTACGTCCTGCCTCAGAGTTTAAGATTGTCTGGGGAGGCCTTGCTCTCAATCCCGTCTTCTTTGCAAATGTGTTTGACAGAGACGAGAGACAGTGCCTTCTCAGTGGTGGCCCCCTCACCTGTGCAACATACACCCCAGTGAAATTAGGTGAGCACCATCCCTCCTTTCTTTAAGGAAGAAGTTCAAATCATAGTTTTGGGACCAGGCATTTAGATAACAGGCTTGATAGCAATTGCAATGTTTTGAGAAATGACTACGGACAGGCTTTGGACTGGATTGGTGGTTGCTGAATCGGACTTGGATATGACAATATATGGCGGATAAAATGTTCAAGTGGATTTTATCCTAATGTTTTTACCTACTTTGTAATGTCATGCTATATTGTCTTTTCTATGTGCTGGCATCGAATTGTTGCCGTTGTATGAGTCCCCCCAGGGGTTGAGAAAGATGGGGTAAAAATGTTTGAAATAAATAAATAAATAAGTATCTCTTTCCTATACACAACACAAAACCAATTTGAAAGCCTTCAATAAGTATTTCATTTTTTTTCTTGGCAACTACATCTTTTCAAAGTATTTCTATGCATGTTGGCTTGTTTACAAATGAGATTTTAATAGTGGTATGTTTAAAAGTGCACATCAGATATTTTCTTATTACACCATAGAGCACAGGCTACAATGTAAAAGTAAAATTGAGTGAATTTTCAATCTTGTACATAATTTTATTGTCATCCCTTTTGTATTTCAAACCAAATACGTTTATTGTTAGGCCAGAATAAACCTATTTGTGCATAAACACTAACTTTTTTTAAAAAAAAGAGGGAGGCTTCTGACATGCAATGACAGAACCGATATATATTGCAATAAGATATTCCATAACTAATGTCTATATATTGATTTTTCATATTTCATTACTTCAAATGGAGCCCCTGGTGGCGCAATGGGTTAAACTCTTGTGCCGGCAGGACACAAGAGTGTCCTGCAAATCCGGGAGAGCGAGTTGAGCTCCCTCTGTCAGCTCCAGCTCCCCATGTGGGAACATGATAGATGTCTCCCACAAAAATGGTAAAACATCGAAAACATCAGGCAACGTCCTTGCAGACGGTCAATTCTCTCACACCAGAAGCAACTTGCAATTTCCCAAGTCACTCCTGACACAAAAAAACCCTTCAAAATGGGCTTTTAATAAAGAATCTAAGAAAAGAAGACTTTTAACATAACATTACGTACTGGTTCATAATCAAGTATTGCAGAAACAGATTCTGAAACAAACAGGATTCTCCCCCTGTCACATCCAACCACAAAGAGGAACCCATCTGCAGCCTGAAAATTTTAAAAAAATATATAAATTATTACATTAGAAATACAAGTAACTAGGCATAAGAGTAAGAGCTTGTGCACATATAAGAAAGTTGATAAAATTGACATACTTTTAAGTATTCAGTTCATATAACTGAACTGAAAATTTTGCCAATGCTACAAAGTTTTAAATATCAGAAGGTACAGACTGGGCCCCAAAATAATTTTCTTTATCATAAAGCTCTTCTGTTCAAGGAAAAAAAGTTTGGATCAGACCTGGATGCCTAAATGGTTTTATAATCCAACATCAACCAACCTTTATGGTAACCATTTTCAACAGCCTTTCTCAAGAGTTTAGGAGTAGGAGCGCCACAAAATTGATGTAGGATGAAAGGAAGAGGGGCCGACCAAGGGCAAGATGGATGGATGGCATCCTTGAAGTGACTGGACTGACCTTGAAGGAGCTGGGGGTGGTGACGGCCGACAGGGAGCTCTGGCGTAGGCTGGTCCATAAGGTCACAAAGAGTCGGAGACGACTGAACGAATGAACAACAACAACAAAACTTAAAACTGAAGAAACCATTCCACAAAAATCCTTGCCTGATGACTTATTTAAATAAGATCTGAGCAACCACTAAACACAGACAATCTCTCTTTCTGTCCTAATCTGCAGTTTAGATTTGGTAGAAGGGGGGGGGGGCAAAGGGAGGGATATGAGGTGAGAAGGAAAGCAACTGTCAGATGGAACTTTGCTTGCAACTGTACTGTATGGTTTGAGAAATAAAGCCCTTCCAGCCTGTCTGTCTGTCAGGCAATTTCTTCTCTAGAAAACTGCAGATCAGGACAAAAAGTTCCATCTCATAAAACCACCTCTTCCTGGGGATCCAGTGCGAGGAAATTGCTTGAATAATGTCAGAGAAGGAAGAATGACACAAGCCAGGTAATACCACTCCTAAGAAAACATCTCCATGGGGGGATGAGGGCTTAGCAGAGTAGCCTGCAGATAGCATGTCACTGCTGAAAGATGAACTTGGAACAGCATTGAGCTCAACCCTGAGGTCACAGCACTTTCAATTTACCTAGGTTTTTATTGAGGTCAGAATTTTTTATTGAGCAAAACAAAGATTCTGATCTTTAATTAATTGTGTGATTCATAAAATTCTGACTTTTGTCATCCCAAAATAGCAAACCATCTAATTATGTTAGCATACTATATATTGATGACATTGTCGCCCTATCTTTGTTTTCTCTAATAGGCCCACCCAATACAGGTAGCAGATTAGTAGCTATGATAGATTATGTAAATTCTGAAGTCTTATGTTGTTGTTGTTGTTATTATTATTATTATTATTATTATTATTATTATTAAACTTTATTTGTACCCCGCTAGCATCTCCCGAAGGACTCGATGTGGCTTACAAAGGCCAAGGCCTCAATACACAACATAACAACATAACAACATATCATGGAGACTTTAGATAACACAGAACTGTGATTCTTCTTTTCTTAAAAAAGTCTATAAATATTGTACAGCCTTCACCTTGACACATTTTAGTGCTCTACTGTCCATCTTTCGAAAAGACAAAATTAAGAACCCAACATTTTTGCCCAGTTCAACTTCAAATAGTTGAATATGTGTTACTTTACTGTTATATATATATATATGGGTTTTCATGTGATGTAAGCTGTCCTGGAATTCTCTGTATATACTGAAGATCAGGACATAAAGTTCCATCTCATAAAACCACAGCAACATTTCCAAAAAATGATCCAAAAATCAGGAATTATCCACCAACTTCAAATCTTGACTTGCTTAGAGAGCAACACCTGTACTCCCATCTTGGATGGAACACTAAGCTTTTTCTTCCCACGTAAGTATTTTTTTTATTGGAAACACACTTTTGGTATTACAAATCAAGCTGTCAAGTAGGGGTGACCAGACAGTGCAAACTAGTATTCCTGCTTACTGGTAATAAACAAGGGCCTTTTTCATACTGTACAATAATAGAAATCTGATACCACTTTGATTGTCTGTGTGATCTACAGGTTTGTAGCTTGGTAAGACACTTGGTAAGAAGGGCGGGGTATAAATATAGGAAATAAATAAATAAATAAATAAGACACTGGAGTCTCCTGACAAAATTCTAAATACTTCAAGAATCTACTATCCCAAGATTTCACAGAGTACAGCCATGTCATTATGTTTGTTATTGCTTTCTTATGTTCTGTGTATATTGTTTATTTTATTGATATGTTTAGTATTTTATTTTATTGTGATATTGTTTGCGTTTTGGTTGCTATTTTACTGTATTTTATTTTATTGTGATTTGTTGTTTGGGCTTGGCCACATGTGAGCCGCCCGTTGGGGGAGATGGTGGCGGGGTATAAATAAAGTTTATTGTTATTATTATGTCAGCTACTGTGGCATCAAAATGCTACATTAGCTGACATAATAATAATAATAATAATAATAATAATAATAATAATAATAAGTACTATGGCACTAGTTAATTATTTTGTGCACATCTGCAATGAAAATACACTGCAAATTATAAAATAATGCAATATAAGCTTGTGGAAAAATCATGTGAATAAACATATTGATAAAATATTTACATGTAAACAGCGAGGAACTTTCTGTGACATATATTTGCAGCACTCAGAATATTCCCAAAACGGTTCTAAACATAATGATAGTTTATGTTTAACTAGAACAATCTATGATTCAAAATTAGCAAACTCTTTCCTATTCCCCTTTGGGCTTGCACACACATTTCAAAGGGGTGGTGATGGTTCACCTGAAAATTCAATTTTTAATGTTGCCAACATACCGCCTATTTTAGTGCTTTAAATAAGCTATCTTGCAAGTCTTGCACAAAAAAAAAATGCTTTCCTGAAGAAATAATGCCATGATGTTTTAATTTACTTGCCTTAAGGATTAAATGCTGGAGTTCACTATCTTGTAAAAATGAAGGCTTATAGCGGATTTCTGAGTAACAACTATTAGAACCTGCAAAATGAAAAGTTGCATGGAGCTATTACAGATCAAATAAAAAAATTCTGAACCAATATACTATCACATGTGAACTCTCTACAAACAACTACCAGTATTTTGTAAATATACATGCTGTTAACTACTGCATTCAGCAGAAATGTATTTTCCATAACACATCACTACTGTCTCTTTGACTTCCCTTTAAAAACTATCTGAACTTGGAACAGAATATAAAAATCTAAAGTCAATCACACGCTCAATAGAACATTATTCTTTTAAGACAATATAAGAAAAAGGGGACAAGAAGGGGCAGCAACCTGAAAGAACAAAACATTGGCAATTACAGCCATCATGCGATTCAATAAAACTATAGACAAATAGGGCCAAAAAAGATTTACACAAATACAGAACCTATTTCAAAATTTAACCAACAAGTCCAATGACAACAGAGTATATCCAGTATTTGTGGAGTGCTGATTAGCATTTTGAAAAATAAAAATGGAAAACAGGGGAAGCAGGATGGCCTGCTAGAGAAAGGCATGGCTGGCTAGCTTACAAGACAAAAAAATCATTAGGCTAGAGCACACTACAGCATTTTATTGAGTATCCCTGGCTAGATGCAAACTGGAGCTGAGTCAAAGCATAGAAAAATGACCTTCTATGGTCTAAATATTCAGAATTTAACAATTAACCATGTTAATTGGGGAATTTTAGGATCCAAATATATAGCTTGTTGAAAGCTCTGGGTGAAACATAACCACATCAGGCCTGCAAAGAAGGAGCGTCCACCACACTCCAAGGCAGAGAGTTCAACAGCTCTTAGTCAGGAAGTTCTTCCTAATGTTCAGATGGAATCTCCTCTCTTGTAGTTTGAAGCCATTGTTCTAGTCTCCAGGGCAGCAGAAAACAAGCTTGCTCCCTCCTCCCTGTGGCTTCCTCTCACATATTTATACATGGCTATCATATCTCCTCTCAGCCTTCTCTTCTTCAGGCTAAACATGCCCAGCTCCTTAAGCCGCTCCTCATAGGGCTTGTTCTCCAGACCCTTAATCATTTTAGTCGACCTCCTCTCGACACATTCCATTTTGTCAACATTGCCCTTCAATTGTGGTGTCCAGAATTGGACATAGTATTCCAGATGTGGTCTAACCAAGGCAGAATAGAGGGGTAGCATGACTTCCCTGGATCTAGACACTGTACTCCAGCTTTCAGAATTCCTGATCATTGAACAAGCTGGATAAGGTTTCTGGGAGTTGGAGGCACAAAAACCTGGAGGGTCGCATGTTGAAGAGACCTAATTTAAGGCATCATTTTCACTAGTATAGAACTGAGATGGTTGCGTGTCTAGCAAATTGGAAATAAAATGGAGTCAATTAAATACAAGTTAGGGGTTTCAATATACTCAAAGGATTCCCTAGATATGCAGAATGTTATGAATTTGTTAAAGAAAATGATTTTATAACTATTCATCCATGTCCCAACAAGGGCTTGTAAGATTTCTGACTATACAGAGTAGAAAATACCCTGTATCTTACAGCAAAAAAAAAAAAAGAAAAAAAAAGGGGGGGGGATAAGTGTTTGGAGAATGCATATGATGTGGCAACAAATATTTTCCCTTCTTGCATTATACAGAAATGTTTCTGCAGAAAAAGAAACAATGCATACATTGTGTAAGCTGGTGCCATCATCTTGCTAATACTACTGTATAAACTGGTCAGGTTTATGCTGGGAACCCAAAAACTAAACTTCCAGGCATTGAACCCTGTTATATGGAATACTTGTTTTTATAAAACCAGCATTGTCCTCTCAAAGTAGCAACAACTCTATAGGATCTCAGATAGAGGTCATTCCCAGAACTGCTTAAATAAGTCTATTCTGATTCAGGATTCATACATAACCAAAGCATACCTCTAGCAAATCCTCTTTCTATACCAAATACATTGCTGGAGCAGTAAGATTTATACAGATCACTCATGTGATAGATGAAAAGACATATTAGTATTCACCCAAAACAAGTTCTTTGACATCAACTTATCTTTACTCACTTTTTAATGACTTTAAATGTTGCACAGTCATTCTTAATACTGTAAGTTTGTCTAGCTTACGTGCCACAGGATTGCACTGAGGTATCATGGCAGATAATTCTTCTATCAGATTATTCATTTTGTCTCTCCTTCTTTTCTCTGTTTGACTATGAGCCTCCCTAGGGAAAATATAAAATATATAACTTATGACTTTTCTAGCCAGTAAAAGTTAGTTTCTGAAATGTAGAGTACTGGTTTTAGGTAAAAAATCAAGTTAAGGAATGTTTTATAATGCTTTGTATCACACACAAACCAACCATTAATATGAAACAGTGAAATAAATGTGCTAAGGTAACAATCAAAACATACTACCGCCATAGCATAAATAATATAAACTATTAGCAACCTTATATATGTGTATTAGCAACCTTATATACATTTATTATTTGTGATTATTATTATTTTGTTTTATACTTTGAAAAATGCAATATTCTTCAAAAACGTTTCAACAGTTTTTTGCCTGAAATATTTGTGCATGGTTTTCTTGTGTCAATCCAGAAATGCCAGAGCAAAAATGTACATCTATTTGCAACTGTGTCTAGCTTTAAAATGAACACAAATGGACCTATTATATATAGATAGATATATATAGAGAGAGAGACAGACAGAGAGTTGGTTTCAGACCATGCCCAGTATTTATAAATGTATATCTTAATGTAACTATTCCTATCCTACTGTAGAATGTATTTTTAAAATGTTTTTTAATTGAGGTTTTAGCAGTGATACTTTAAAAACATTAAAAATTGACAAAGGTGATGGGAAGGGGGGAGGGGAGGGTTTGTAGAATCCGAGAGGGAAGGGTAGGGGGAAAAACTGGTGATAATTCCATTCTTCTTTATAATGGTTATATGAAGAAAAGCAAAACTTTATAGCATCTTTTTACATCTAACTTTCTTGAATGTTCAACATGGGTAGTTCTCCCTTCTCATCTGATCAGAGTAACATCTTGAGATTGTCTCTTTTCATCCATTCTTTTAAGGGGGTCCAATTCGTTGTTTTAATATATTTCCTTTGTGACTTTGCTGCTAGGAAAGTCAGTTGATCCATATTCATTATATCTAATATATTTTCTATCCATTCTTCCTTTGTTGGTATTGTGTACTGTCTCCATTGTCTGGCATACATGATCTGAGCTGCAGTTGTCAGAAGGAAGGAAGGAAGGAAGGAAGGAAGGAAGGAAGGAAGGAAGGAAGGAAGGAAGGAAGGAGTGAGCCCAGTTCAGGCTCCTCATTGATTCCAGGTGAGCCGGACATCCAAGCAGCTCCCAATGTCAATTTCCCCCAATTTCCACCAGAATTCACTTTTGGGCTTATTGAGGATTCATCCCAGTTTGGCCCCAATCCATCTTTGGGTTCACAGTGTTTCCGGATGAACAATTTCTCCTCCTCCTCCTCCTCCTCCTCCTCCTCATTCTCTCATCCACCCCAACTCCTCCTTCCCTCCCTCCTTCCTTCCCTTCCTTTCTCTACTTCCCTGCCTTCTCCTTCCTTTAATTCTTTCCCTCCCTTCCCTCCTTCCTCCCTTTCCTTCTCTCCATTACTCCTTCCTCCCTTTCTTTCCTTCCCTCCCTCCCTTTCTTTCCTTCCTTTTTCTCCCCCCCCCCCCACCCCCACCAGCTTCATCCTCCTTTATTAAATCTACAGTGTAGATGCACCCAAAGTCACCCCTTCCACACTGCCATGTAAAATCCAGATTATCTACTTAGGACTAGATTATATGGCAGTGTACACACACACACACACAGATATGGATGGATGTAGGATCACTGGTTGGTGATATATATCTATATCTGTCTATCTATCTATCTATCTATCTATCTATCTATATAATTACAATACTATATATATATTACTATTATATATACTGCTATATAATATATATAATATACATTATTGTTATATGTATTACTATATAATATGTTACTACTATATATTACTATATTAAATAGACTCATGGAATAGAGTTAGAAGGGACTCTACCATGGTATTGGGGGAGAACGGACAGGAAAGAAGGAGAAAAGGAGGGAGGGAAAGAAGGAAGGAGGAAAGGAAGGAAGGAGAGAAGGAAGGAAAGAAAGAGGTACCGGAGGAAGGAAGGAAGAAGATAAAGTAGAAATGAAAGGAAAGGCTAGAAAGAGGTAAAGAGGTAAAGAAGTAAGGAAGGAGAAAAGGAAATAAAAATTGAAAGAACCAAGAAAACAGCGAAGGAAGAATTGAGACAAAGGAAGAAGTAGAGAAAGAGGGAGGGAAGGAAGGAAAGAGAGAAGGAAGTATGAAACCAAAGGGTTAAAGAAGGAATGAAAGAAAGAGGTAGAGAAGGAAGAAAGGAGAGGAAGGGGAAGGGGAAGAAAAAGGGGGGAAGGAATAGGTTGTTGTTTTTTTTTTGCCGTGCCAGGAACGACTTGAGAAACTGCAAATCGCTTCTGGTGTGAGAGAATTGGCCGTCTACAAGGACGTTGCCCAGGGAACACCTGGATGAATTGATGTTTTTATCATCCTTGTGGGAGGCTTCTCTCATGTCCCCGCATGAGGAGCTGGAGCTGATAGAGGGAGCTCATCCACCTCTCCCTGGATTCGAACCTGCGACCTATCGGTCTTCAGTCCTGCTGGCACAGGGGTTTAACCCACTGCACCACCAGGGGCCCTAGGTAGGTACCTCTCTTTCATAATAGTCCGGATATCTACCTCTACTTTGAAAATTCTTACTATAGGCCACAGCAACGCGTGGCAGGGTAAAGCTAGTCTATGTATATAAGGTGTATAGGAAGCATAATATTATATTCAAAATTGCCTTTTAGATATTTGTATAAGGTGCATAAGAAACAAATTTAATCGTATTGTCGAAGGCTTTCATAGCTGGAATCACTGGGTTGTTGTAAGTTTTTTCGGGCTATATGGCCATGTTCTAGAGGCATTCTCTCCTGTCATTTCGCCTGCATCTATGGCAAGCATCCTTAGAGGTATTGACGTTTCGCCTGCATCTATGGCAAGCGTCCTCAGAGGTACCAGCAGGTGAAATGTCAAGAGAAATGTGCAGGCGAAACGTCAGGAGAGAATGCCTCTAGAACATGGCCATATAGCCCAAAAAAACTTACAACAACCCAACAAATTTCATGTTTAGATTTGGATCCCCTCTCTAAGATCTCATTACATTTGTACATGCAAATAAGGTATCCAAAATCAAACACACTTCTGAACCCAAGCATTTCAGATAAGGAATACTCAACTTGTATTTTAAATAGGTTTCTTTTTTCAAAAAGTGATTTTTCCAATTTGCAGTACCTGAAATACTTAATTTTTACATGTTCTTCATCTTCACTCCTAAGGGAAAAAAGGATTACAATTAAATAAAATGCAAACATTACAATTAAGCATTTTAGCAGGTAAAATTTGCACAATGCTAGTATTCTTGAAAACTGTTCCAAAAGTTACACAACTAAAGAAAGTGACTTGTGGTAGCTGGTGGCTTATATGTCAACAGAATGCTAAGTATGTTATAGTCTAGCCTTTAAAGGAGATGTCGAAGGTGCTGAACACTATTTTAAAAGTGTTTTAGCCTTTAAAGTTTTAACCCTCAGTAGATTCACCTCTCTACCCATACAGAAAGCAGCAGCTGTCATGCTAAACCAAATGTATATATTTGTGTATATGTGTAAATATGTTGTTTTGTGCATGCATTGTATTTTTTTTTTGCTTTTTTAGTCTCTTGTGCTGTGTTTTTCAGTGTTTTTATAAGTGATGGTCACTTGTTGGCGTGATATATGTATTTTGTCCAAATGTGGTATCTATTCTCCCAGTGGTTTTTTTATTTATGTTAATCATAAATACACGGACAGTATTGTATTTATTTTTATAGAATGTCATTAACAGTGTTTCTAAACTTTTTTTAATGCCACGACCCCTTAATGCAATTTCTCATGTTGTGGTGACCCCCAACCATAATACTATTTTCGTTGCTCCTTCATAACTGTAATTTTGCTACTCTTCTGAATCATCGTGTAAATATCTGATATGCAAGATATATTTATGTTGAAAGTCTTCGACAATACATTGTATTTCTGTTCTTATAAATTGAACATAATTAAAGCATACTGATTAATCACAAAAACAATAAGTTTGGGGTGTATGGACAACGGATGATGGGGTTTGGAGTATCTTCAACTGATTCAGCTCAGAGTTCCACAGACCACTAAGACCCCCGTTAATGACAGATCTGAACCAAGCTTGGGCCACAGAACCTTCATGGCCATCAGAAAATACTGGAGGGGTTTGGGAGGAATCCACAGTAATAATATCCTAGTGTTGCAAGAGACCTCCAAGGGCCATCCAGTCCAACCTCCCTCTACCATAAGGGAAAAACACAATCCAAGCACTCCTAACAGATGGCCATAGAGACTCTGCTTAATATTATTATTAGTAGTAGTAGTAGTAGTAGTAATAGAATCCTAGAGTAGGGAGACCTCCAAGGGCCATCAAGTCCAACCTCCCTCTGGCATAAGGGAAAAACACAATCCAAGCACTCCTAACAGATGGCTATAGAGACTCTGCTTAATATTATTATTATTAGAAATAGAATAGGGAGACCTCCAAGGGCCATCCATCCAACCTCCCTCTGCCATAAGGGAAAAGCACAGCAAAACACTCCTAATAGATGGCCATTTAGACTCTCCGTAATAATAATAATAATAATAATAATAATAATAATAATAATAATTCATTTCTTCCTCCCTTCCTTCCTCTCTTTCTCTTCTTTCCTTCCTTCCCTCCCCCCATCCCTGCCTCCTTTCCTTCCTCTTTCTTTCCTTTTACCTTTCCTTCCATTCATATCCTTCTCTTCACCAGTCCTTTTCTTCCTGTCTTCTCTCCTTTCTTTCCCTTCCTTCCTCCCTTCCTTCTGTGGCAGTTTGTAAGGGGTTTGCATCCTCCCTTCACCTGACGGTCCTAAGTGAGGGGGAGGAGTGTGTGCAGCCACTCCTGCAGGCAGGCTTCCCTTTCAAATCTCTGCCGGGGCTTGCCTTCCATCTCTCCTTTCTTCCTCAATCTCTCCTCTCCCGAAAAGAAAGAGGAGTCTGCCTTCCTGCTTGGAAAGGGTCTCCATGGCAAGGTAAGGCAGCCCTTTCCCTCTCAACGGTTGGTGCCTCAGGCTTCTCACGCGCGTGCTGGGGAGAGGGCCTTTTGAGCATGCTCAGTTAGGTACCGTATATTCCGGCATATAAGACGACTGGGCGTATAAGACGACCCCCAACATTTCCAGTTAAAATATAGAGTTAAGACAACTCCCATGCATAAGAATACACCCGCGTATAAGACGACCCCTGACTTTTGAGATGATTTTCTTGGGTTAAAAAGTAGTCTTATACGCCAGAATATACTGTAACTTTTTAGGGGGGATATTAAAGTTATTTCCCCTTCGTTTTTAAAGATTTTTTTATTTGGAAGACATAGATCAGATAAGAATGTGTTTTGCTGCCAAATTTGGTGTCAATTGGTCCAGGGGTTTTTGAGTTCTGTGAATAGCACAAACGAACATTACATTTTTATTTATATAGATTTATTTCGTGTGTGTGAAGCATTATACCTGCTCTGGAGATCATCAATATCAATGTCACATGCATACCTAGAGAAAGAGAATTTAAACTAATCAGCAGACATTCAAACGGAAAACAAAATATCAGTATAATAAAAAATAAATCAGGGCAACTTCTCATGCTGCTGGTTTTACAGATGAGATCTAGAAAGAGACAAAGGCACACAAAAGTACTCTCTATAGCTTGAATGTTGCCTATAGGATTTAATAAATGATGGAATTCTAATGATGCAATTTGAAGCGTATGTGTATATGTGCTTACAAGTTGCCTACTGACTTAAAGAGAACCCATGCATTTAATAGGATTTTCTTGGGCAGGGAACATTCAAGTTTTGCCAGCTTCTTCCTCTGAAATATAACCTACAGCATCTGGCATTAATTGTCAGTCTCCCATCCAAGCACTAATCCAGATTAGATATAGTGCTTTAGTGTTTTTAAGCACTTACAATTTCAAGACCCTTATTTTTTGTCATTATTATAAGTAATAACATGGTAAAAAAGCCTAGGCAATTGCCTAGCACACATTATGTTGTGAGACAGCCAGCATGATACATGAGTTTAAGTTTAGGACTCCAGGAAACTAGGATTTGAATCCCTACTTAGCCATGGGCTACATAGGGTAACCTTGATCAATAAGATGCTGTAATCCATTTGGGTCTGCATCTGAGTTAATCAGAATACCCTAACGGACTTGTTTCAATCTTCCACTGGAGACGACACCAAATTTGACACTTTTTCCTGCCACAATTTGAAAGCTGGAGAAGCAATAAAACCAAGTTAAAATTAAAATGTCCCAATTAATATTGGTAGGTTACTCACCTGTAACCATGTTTCCTCGAGTGGTCCTCTGTGAATCCACACATATGGAGTATCTGCGCCTGCTCAGCCTCCAACGGAAAACTTCCCAAGTTGAAACTTTTAAGTTTTGGCGGTAACCCCGTCCAGCCGCCCAGCAGGGCATAAAAGGCGCCCTTGCACGCACGCTCCGCAGTTCCTACGCAGCCATAGCGAGGAAAAGGGGAGGTTTGCAAGAGGAGACGGCCGGGCAGGTTTGTGTTGATTCACAGAGGGCCACTCGAAGAAACATGGTTACAGGTGAGTAACCTACCATTTTTCTTCGTGGCCTCTGTGAATGCACACATATGGAGATCTAGCAAGCTAAGGTCCTGGATGGTGGGAAGCAAACCGACACCAATTAAGGGCCAAACGTGACTTTATTGAAAGTTCTGACACAACAATGCAAGGCAAGAGACATTTGTCAGAATAACAAAGATACTATAATGGTTATGGCGGAGGTATAAACAATGGCGGAACCCGAAATGCCGCGTCTTTTATGCCCTGCTGGGAGGCTGGGCGAGGTTACCGCCAAAACTTAAAATTTTCAACTTCGGAAGTTTTCTGTTGGAGCCTGCGCAGGCGCAGATACTCCATATGAAGAAAAAACATATCTTATTATTTAATATGTCATCCATATTGTAAATTTTATTTTTAAAACAAGTTGAAAGCTGATGTGAATTCTTGCAATGCAATACAACAACAATTTATGTAAATGGCCCTGACACCAAAAAACTACTCAAACAAGAAAGTTTCCAAACAGTTCTAGAAAATGCGCACAACGTTGTCATCATTAGCACCTTCTCCTGTAGTCAGATTTGTTTGTAATATAAAGAGGATATATTAGGAAATATGTTTTGGAGAATGTAGACTGAACAGAATGGTTCAGAAATAAGACAGAAAAGGAAGATACTGCCTCATAAGAATCTGGAGATGTTTTTAATCCAAAGCTGTTTCTTAGTGGGAAAATGGATCCTTACGAAATGATATATTTTGCATATGTTGCACCAAAGAAAATCCTCCTGGTGCCAAATCACATGGCTTTTAGGTTCTGGAAAAAACATGTCCCATTACCCTAAAAGGAATCCCTTTGAATTAAAGCCTCTCTGTTTTATTTACTAAGTTTATTATTTTTACCATGTTGTGTTGATATCACTACCAAGTTAAATAGAAGGTAATACAAAGTGATAAAAGGGAACAATGAGGACAAATTGAAAGAGCTGAGAATAGGAAACATATATAGACATTCTAGTCACTTACTAAAATTACCCAAAGGACTCAAAACACAATTGCTTTCCAACTTGCCTGAAGATAGTACTGGGGGATTATATTTCAAAAGATATTGATTTTTAAAAATGTTTTGGGGGTTGAGCATAATGGAGTGGTTGTTTCCATCAATGCTTAGGTAACCAATGACCTCCAAGAGATGTCCACTTCTGATCTAGAACCAGGTTTCTTATTGGTGGAACTGAAGGCATTTAGTTATGCTGGAAAGTACAGAAAAACACAGCTAAAAGATATACTTTTAAGTGTTCAAAATATATCACAAAAGTGGTTGAGAACAGAAAATATATATATAAGAATTCCCGACTTACAAATAACACATAGTTAATAAAAGGGGTGGGACAACAGGAAATGAGAGAAAACTGCTCTTAAAAAGGGAAATTCACTCCTAAAAATTGTTATCATGGGAAACAGGTGTTCCCACTGAAGCTTTGTCACCAATACTTGTTTCCACAAGTCAAGTTTTTCGAAATCCAATTTTCACAGGGACAAAAAGTGAGATGAAATCTTATGAACAGGGGCACAGACAGCAAAACCAACACCATGGAGGTGCTAACCCCTTCATATGATATCAAAGGCTAAAAACTATATATTTTTGGCTAGAGTTACACTGAAAAAATGTATGCATTCTGACTTATAAAAAAATTCAGCTTAAGAACAAACCTACAAACCCTATCTACTTCACAACTTGGGGACTGCATGTATATGCAAACAGAATATTATCATAACTCTCTTGTTGTGCATATTAATTTCCTAACACACGTGCAAAACAAAATGAGTCCCAAATTCAGCACTGGCAGCAAGCTGAATATCTTTGCCAAAATATTCCTTTTCCCAAACAGGGAAGTTAGATGGGTAATAACATGTACACACAAATGTAGAAATAAAAAGAAAAATCCACCAAAGCTGTGATTCTCGTAGAGGTGGGTATAGACAAGTAAGTCATTTTACTTACTGGTTATCAGAAACACTTCCTTTGCGTTTTCTTGGAAAGTCTACCACAAATGTGTTGACTGAACTGGCAGTGGCAGGCTGGGCTGAAGGACTTATAAGGCCTGAGACTACAGAGGTGGCACACTGGGTTCCTTCCATCTGAAGATTATCTACGAATAGGAAAATAATACCCATGCTGAAGATATTCCGCTGTATTTGCTTTGAAAAATCCAAAGGCAAAAGCAGTAAACATAACTGATGTTGCCAGTCCTAATCTCTAGATGACTCTGGGTTTATCCACAATGCACATATATAGCTGTTCAGCACCACTTCAATTGCCATAACTTCATCTCATGGAATCCTGAGCTTTGTAGTTTGATGAGATACTTAAGAAAATTGTATTGCTGTACTGTACGAAGTTGACTAGAGCTCTAATGAAGTTTATTTTAAGTGCCTCTCAAAACTATAAATCCCAGGATTCCATGAGAAGGAGCCACGGGGGTAAAACAAATATCACACTGCTGTAATTGTGTAGTGAGATATACCTTCTGATACCAAATAAATGAGACCTCTTAACACAAATGTTAATATGCTCCTTGTCATTAATCAGTTTTTGGAATAACTGTATCACTGCTACTATAAACCAATTTGAACCAAATCACTGCAGAACATAACCTGGTACTCTTCCAATGGCCAGGGATCATGGGAGTTGTAGTTCAAAGCACACAAGGGATATCAGGTTACCTACTCTCTCACACAGAAAACTGTAACTCTTGCTTGGTATTATATTATATGGAAGCAACATGTAATCAACATGTTTTAAGAAGCAATAGAAATAACAATGTTATCTGGTTATGATGGCAAGCCAGCCAGGAGCCCCTGTCTTGAAGCCGATCTGACCTGCAGCAGGGAGTTACGCAGTTCTCTGTTGCCTGCTTGAGCCTATATCAATGGGAATGTGGCCACAGCAGGAGCTCCAACCAAAGACTCCTTTCCTGCCTTGCTTTCGTCCCCTCAACCTGGAACCCAGCTGTTTTTCCAAAAACGATGCCTCACTGCCACCATTTTGTGGATGTCCAAGGAGCCTGCTGATCTTGGAAGACTGTCGCGGTTGCCTCCTATGACTCCCAAGATGTCAGCAGGCCGCCTTGGTCCTTGGTGTGGAGGGATCTGTAGTTCTCTCCATGTATCTCAATCTCCAATATTGGCAGCCGACTCATAAGGACTCTGTGAACGCTGGGACACCCTTTCCCACTTGCCTTTCCTGGATTTTATAACTTTGTTCAATTTTCCCAAACTTTCAAGGACTTTTGAAAACTTTATGGAACTTTTTCCCCAAGCCCTATAGACTTCCTTCTCATGATTAAGGGGTGATATGATTTCATGCTTATGAATGTATTCTTTTGGACTCTGGTGGGTGGGATGGATGTATATGAAATTCCTTTATGCTTCATTATCCCTTATGTATCTCCCTTGAACCTTGTGTTTGTGTCTGTATATGAAATACGAAGTGCCACTCCCTTGACCCCAGCAACAAAAAATCCCCAGACTAAACTTCTCATTTTTCTGAGGAAGATGATCCCTTGATTTAAAGGACCTAATAGGAACTTCTTGCATGGACAATACAAAGGACATATGCCCCAGGCCTCAGAGTTGGCCCATCTGGGAAGAAAGCCCCATGGCTAATGTAATCACTCCTCAAAGGGACAACTGGTCTTTGGAAAGCCTTAAATTGTCCTCCAACTGCCTGATCCTTTGTTTCCATTCCCTGGACGAAACCTCGATCAGAATCACATCTATTGTCTCCATATCCAGTCTTCAGGAAAATCCGGAATCTCGTGGTCCTGCCAGACACAGATGTTTATCTCCACCCACCAAAGACCCAGCTAGCTAGAGGACCCTTCAGGGTTATCGCCAAGCCCATGGACAATCATTGAGCCATTAATCCACTCATTTCTTCATTGTTTCTCACTCGGACCGCCTTCTCTCCCGATTGGCCAGGAGGCTGAAGCAGCACTGGCTGGCCTATTGGCTATGACGCGCTGGAGGCAGCCAAGCCCCCTCCCCAGCTGTTAGCGCCAGCCAATCAGCCTCAAGTCGGCAGAGGGAGGCGGGAGCAGGAAATTCAAAGCTTACCGCCCTGTTTTTTCCTATAAAATGTGCTGTAATGTATTGTGTGGTATGTCTCTCCTGACGAACTATCGCGGTTTGGCATCCGTACCAGCTAGACGAAATAAATACAACTCGGTGGCTTTTCTTCAACTTTGGTGAGATTTATTTGGGAAAAATCAGGGAAAATTCTTTGGCTCTCTCTCTTTTCGCTCACAGGAGTATCGGATCCTTGTTGTTGGGTCTGAGGGCTTTCCTCTCCTGGGCGGGAGCCTCTAAATTCTAGCTCGATATCAGTTATAACATGCTATTTTTCAAAACCAGGATATGTTGTTATATTACTTTTTTAGAATTGCATAATTACACAGCGGGAGTTGTTCGGAGAAATGTATTCCATTTGGTCATTTCTGTTTTTAAAATAAATCATTTTATAATTTCTCAGGCTATATATATGAGGAGTTGTTAAGACCAGAGAGGGTTAGCAGTATGGATCTCATACAAATTCTTTCCAATCTGATTAAGAAATTAAAAACTTTGTCATGTTTATGGTGCTCTCAGAATCTGCATATTTAATTTCAAATAAGATAACATTTTGGAAATCATCAAAATAAATGAATAAACATTTCAAAATGAGAGTTCCTATTTTTTTTTGTTTTTTTGTGGAAACATTTGCCTGAAGGGTTTAACTTGTTCATTAATCAGTATGTACCATATAACAATAATATTCAAAGTGCATGCCAAAAAAAGATGCAGACAATATTTAGAAATAAAGTTATTAACATTTGATTTGTTTTTCTCTATTCCAGTAATAGGATGGTGATCATTTACGTGTAAAACAAGGTTTCAGTCAGGCATTAACCTAATCTCCTACATTTTAAATTATTCAAAGATAACTTCTAACAGAGCAACCCTATCCCCTTCAGAAGGCCCCTGGTATGCTTGCAAATGTAAAAGTATAGCCAAAAGCATCCATGCTGCCAGCAAGCATTAAAACAGGGTCTTCCAGGACTGCCCTTGAATCTACAGGACACCAAATCCTTTATTCTCCCATGATCAGGCCCTGCATATCACAGTTGTATACAGATGGGAGGAAATGTAAAAACACAAATCTTCAAAGAAAAATAGAAGCAGGAAAAAGTCTGCCTTTCCCTTTCTCCTCTAGCCAGAGTTAGCCTGTGGGGCTTTGAAAATAGGTTGTTCATAACCACTTGGGCATTTCAGATGAATGTCCATAATAGAACAAAAGAATGTCCATAAGAATTAAAACTCCTCTAGTAACTGAACAAAAACAGAGAAAGGTTTACATCAAACCCAATGTGTTTGCAAGAGCATTGCAAACCATCCTTTTATATGCCAACAAGCAGGACGTGACGATGGAGATTGTGAAAAGGATGCGGTGATTAAAAACCCCCATAAAATGGACCACTGTTTCAGTTTTCCTTCAAATTGCATAGACTAAATAAAGATGAAATTCAGTTCTTGTGGGTTTTTTCGGGCTATATGGCCATGTTCTAGAAGCATTTCTCCTGACATTTCGCCTGCATCTATGGCAAGCTTCCTCAGAGGTGACCTCTGAGGAAGCTTGCCATAGATGTAGGCGAAACGTCAGGAGAAATGCTTCTAGAACATGGCCATATAGCCCGAAAAAACCCACAAGAACTGAGTGATTCCAGCCATGAAAGCCTTCGACAATACAAAGATGAAATTCTTGCTCATGTAGCTGAAAGAAGCAAATATTTAAAAATTGGGGTGGGGATTATGGCAACTGATGTACAAAAAAGTGTCTCTATTGGGGATTATATTTCTTTTACTCACAATACAGTTTTGTCATGTTATCTATAACATTGCCTTTTAAGCTATCTGATGTGGGAAGCCAGGACCACATACATACACGCACACACTCTCTCTCTCTTGATGTACCAATGACTGGTACCATATTTGTGTTCAATGGCTTCAAATGACTCGTGGCTGGCAACAGCCCACGGACCATTTCTTTGACTGGAATTCTCCCTTCTTCCATACACCAATGTTGAAGTATTCACAGCAAAAGACAAACAGGTCATATACAGTACATTTCCATATTGACTGGGAGTGACTTTTTGTACTCTACTGGCCTTTGGGTCTGTATCTAGCGCTCCCCTATTTTCAGAAGGGAAGATCTAAAACAGCCCTCCAGAATGTCCCTACACCAGGTTTTGTTCTTTAATAATAGATTACAATTTGAAAGTTAAACTATGCAAGCAAAGCTCCAGTCAGAAAGCACTACAGGATCAAAGGAAACAACAAACAAACCCTGACCTACTTTTTTGGGAAACAGAATTTGCCGGCACAATTTTGCTAACACAAAATAAAACAGAAGTGACAAGTACAGAAGACTCATCTTTGTGTCTAAAATTGGAAGACCAGCAGCCATATTAAGAAGTGTGAAGACAATGTGCCTTTCAGCATTGTTTCATGAACCACTTGAAGTACATATTGGAAAAGAATGGAATACTAAAGCACAAGAAAGATGATTTAATCAATCTGACACAATATAGTAAAAAATAAAATGTATGTACTTTGGTCCATGGTTACCCAAAATGAAAACAAAAAATAAAACCTTGTGTAGATAGAATAAAAAAAATTCACTCATACAGAAAATTTTAAATATCAGTTAAGGTTAAGGTGTGCACGCAAAATAGGTCAAAAGGTAAATGGTATCAGCATTTAAAATGAAATTATACATAATGAAAAATATAAAATCAACATTGTTGATGTATGCATGCCCTATGTATTTCTTCCAGCTTCCTGCCGACATACGGTTACCCACAAAAATTTATAGGGTTCTTAGAGGCAGTTTTGCCAGCCCTTTCCCCCATGACCTTCTGGCATACAAACTAGTCAAAGGAGGGCTAGGCAAAATTAAGGTTAGGTGGATCTGTAATTGGTTAAGTGAATGAACCCAGAGGATGCTCACCAATGCTTCCTCATCATCCTGGAAAGAACTGACGAGTGGAGCGCATCAAGTTTGCAGATGACACCAAATTGGGAGGGACAGCCAATACCCCAGAAGAAAGGAGCAGAATTCAAAACGATCTAAGAGATTAGAGCAGTGGTTCTCAACCTGTGGGTCCCCAGATGTTTTGGCCTTCAACTCCCACAAATCCTAACAGCTGGTAAACTGGCTGGGATTTCTGGGAGTTGTAGGCCAAAACACCTGGGGACCCACAGGTTGAGAACCACTGGATTAGAGAGATGGGCCAAATCTAACAAAATGAAGTTCAACAAATGCAAAATACTCCACTTATACAGAAAAAATGAAATGCAAAGATAACACAATGGGGGACACCTGGATCGACAGCAGTATGTGTGAAAAAGATTTTGGAGTCCTCGTGGACAAGTTAAACATGAGCCAACAATGTCATGCAGCGGGGAAAAAAGCCAATGGGATTTTGGTCTGCATAAATAGGAGCATAGTGTCTAAATCCAGGGAAGTCATGCTACCCCTCTATTCTGCCTTGGTCAGATCACATCTGGAATACTATGTCCAATTCTGGGCACCATAATTAAAGGGAGATTTTGACAAGCTGGAATATGTCTAGAGGAGGGTGACTAAAATGATCAAGGATTTGAAGAAAGAGCCCTATGAGGAGCGGCTTAAAGAGCTGGGCAGGTTTAGCCTGAAGAAGAGAACACTGACGGCCATGTATAAATATGTGAGGAGAAGTCATAGGGAGGACGAAGCAGGCTTGTTTTCTGCTTCCCTGGAGACTAGGACACGGAACAATTGCTTCAAACTACAGGAAAGGAGATTCCTGACTGCGAGAGCTGTTCAGCAGTGGAAGTTTCTGTCCTGGAGTGTGGTGGAAGCTCCTTCTTTGGAGGCTTTTAAACAGAGGATGGATGGCCATCTGTCGGGGGTGCTTTGAATGCTATTTTCCTGCTTCTAGGTAGGGGGTTGGACTGGATGGTCCATGAGGTCTCTTCCAACTCTATGATTCTATGATTCTACATGTTAAAAAACAAAGTATGGATCATCGATGTTGCAATCCCAGGTGACAGCAGGATTGCAGACTAGCAATCCCCTGCCATGCGTTGCTGTGGCCCAGTCTGGTGATCTGGAAAATAAAGTGATGAGAAAGTGTTGGTTTCTAATATATGTAATTTCTTTATACTTGTGGGTAAACAGTATTTCTTGCTGTTTCTTTGCCAGTGTTGATGTGGAGATTGTCTGGTTTGCTTACTCTGGAGCATACAACATATCACTGTCTTTCTTTAGGGGTCCCTTTCAGATCTTTGATATTGCATCTGTCGTATACATATGTGTGTGTGTGTGTGAATGGCTGGATGGCTTTTTGTCAGGAGGGTTTTGATTATGTTTTCTTGCCCTGGTGAAAGGAGTTGGAATGGATGGCCTTAAGGCAGCATTTCTGAACCTGGAAAGTCAAGACCCTGGAGGGAGGGGGTCGGGGGGGGGGGTCAGAAGGGTCACCCAAGACCACCAGAAAACACAGTATCTTCTGTTGGTCATGGGGGTTCTGTGTGGGATGTTTGGCCCAATTCCATCATTGGTGGGGTTCGGAATGCTCTTTTATTGTAGGTGAACATCCTAGTAACTACAACTCCTAAATGTCAAGGTCTATTTTTCCCCAAACTCCATCTGTGTTCACATTTGGGCATATTGAGTATTCTTGTCAAATCTGGTCCAGATCCATCATTGTTTGAGTTGAGTCCACAGTGTTTTCTGGATGGAGGTGAACTACAATTCCAAAACTCAAGGTCAATGCCCACCAAACCCTTCCAGTATTTTCTGTTGGTCATGGAAGTTCTGTGTACCAAGTTTGGTTCAATTCCATTGTTGGTGGAGTTCAGAATGCTCTTTGATTATAGGTGAACTATAAATCCCATCAACTACAACTCCTAAATGACAAAATCATAATTTTTGAGTGCTGGTCACTCCTTGTGTTGTGAGATGTTTTGTTGCCAAATTTGGTGTGATTTCGTTCATTGGTTCCTTTGTTTTTAAGGTACTCATTATGCACAGAGCATTTATATATATATAGATAGAAGAAGATTGTCCTCCCAACCCTGTTATACACCCGCAAAACATCACCTCCTGGAACAATTCCATCAACGTTGCCTTTGAAAAATCCTGCAAATCTCTTGGAAAGACAGGCAGATAAATATCAGTGTGCTGGAAGATGCAAAGACCACTCACATTGAATCAATGATTTATTGATTTATTTATTTCGAGTATTTCTACCCCGCCCTTCTCAACCCCCGAAGGGGGACTCAGGGCGGCTTACAAAAGGCACAATTCGATGTCAGCAATACACATAGTAAGATAAATACATAGCAGCAACAATTATAAAACAATTAAAACAATCCAGCTTTACAGTACAACTAATAAAAACCAATCTAGTGATCAACGTTCGCCAAGCTCAAAATCCGTAAATTCATTCTGCATTGTCATAATCCTATCCAGTTCTAGTCGTCATTGTCCTTTGTCTGTCTGCCAGGTTAACCAAAGGCCTGCTCCCATATCCATGTTTTTAGTTTCCTTCTAAAAGAGAGGAGGGATGTCGATGACCTAATTTCCCCGGGAAGCAAATTCCACAGGCGAGGGGTCACCACCGAGAAGGCCCTGCTCCTCGGCCCCACCAACCTCACTTGTGACTTAAACTCCGAGGCGGGACATAGAAGGAGATACGCCCAGACAGGTACGCTGGGCCGGAGCCGTATAGGGTTTTGTAGGTCAAAACCAGCACTTTGAATTGTGCTCCGAACTGGATCGGCAGCCAGTGGAGCTGACATAACAGAGGGGTGGTATGTTCCCTCTATGACGCTCCATCCTTCGTCATCAATTTCGCTGGAGTGGCCACATTGTATTGTCGAAGGCTTTCATGGCTGGAATCACTAGGTTCTTGTGGTTTTTTTCGGGCTATAGGGCCATGTTCTAGAGGCATTTCTCCTGACGTTTCGCCTGCATCTATGGCAAGCATACTCAGAGGTAGTGAGGTCTGTTGGAAATAGGACAATGGGGCCTTTTCCGTGGTGGCCCCCAGACTCTGGAACACCCTCCCCAAAGACCTTAAACAGGCCCCCACACTGGCAGTCTTCAGAAAGAACTTGAAGACTTGGCTTTTCCGATGCGCCTTCCCAGATTAGGAAATCTCCACTACCAAGTCCCATAAGCACCTTATCAGAACCAATGACTGCTGCACATTGCACTTGCCCTAGAAGCCTCATATACACCTCCTGTCACATCAGCACTTTTAATTCTTGTACCCATTACTTTGGCCTGGCCCAGTTTTTATTGTGTTTTAGTGTATTGCTTTTGCCTGTTGTTTATTTGCTTTATCCTGTTTTTAATTGTTTGATTTGCCTAGTTTGTATTGCTATGTTGTGTGTTGAGGCCTCGGCCCGTGTAAGCTGTATCGAATCCTTTGGGAGATGCTAGCAGGATACAAATAAAGTTTAATAATAATAATAATAATAATAATAAATCTGTGAAATGGCTGGGGTGGGGCAAAGAGCTCTTCACTGCTAGAGCTAGGTGTGAATGTTTCAACTGACCACCTTCATTTGTATTTGAAGGCCTGGCTGAGCCTGGGAAAATCTTTTGTTGAGAGGCACATCTTAACACCTCTTGCCATAGATGCAGGCGAAATGTCAGGAGAAATGCCTCTAGAACATGGCCCTATAGCCCAAAAAAAAAACCCACAAGAACCTAGTGGCCACATTGTCTGAATGCCTGATCAACATCTCCCCAAGCAGTTACTCTACTCTCAATTCAAGAATGAAAAAAGGAATGTTGGTGGACAGGAAAAAATATTTAAAGATGGGCTTAAAGGTAACCTTAAAAACTTGTGACATAGACACCGAGAACTGGGAAGCCCTGGCCCTTGAGTGTTCTAACTGGAGGTCAGCTATGGCCAGCAGTGCTGTGGATTTTGAAGAGAAAAAGGAACAAGAGGAAGTTTTATCCCAACAGATTAAACACAATGGGGAGAGATTTCAGAAACTAGGGGAGGGGAGACCAGGAAGCCTCATGTGGAAAAATGAGCATGATTGACAGCCTCAGTCACCGCCCCGCAGCAAGGATCCCACTCACCCCTCAGGGAGCCATGTCATGGAGATATAGAAAACACAAGGAAGGAAGGAAGGAAGGAAGGAAGGAAGGAAGGAAGGAAGGAAGGAAGGAGGGAAGGAAGGGAGGGAGGGAGGGGGAGGGAGGGAGGGAGGGAGGGAAGGAAGGAAGGAAGGAAGGAAGGGAGGGAGGGAGGAAGGGAGGGAGGAAGGGAAGGAAGGAGGAAGGAGGGAGGGAAGGAGGGAGGGAGGGAGGGAAGGAGGAGGAAGGAAGGAAGGAGGAAGGAAGGAAGGAAGGAAGGAAGGAGGGAGGGAAGGAGGGAGGGAGGGAGGAAGGAGGGAGGGGGGGGAGGGAAGGAAGGAAGGAGGGAGGGAGGAGGGAGGAAGGAAGGAAGGAAGAAGGAGGAGGGAGGGAGGGAGGGAGGGAGGAGGGAGGGGGAGGGGGGGAGGGAAGGAAGGAGGGAGGGAGGGAGGGGGAGGAGGGAGGGAGGGAAGGAAAGGGAAGGAAGGAGAAGGAAGGAGGAGGGAGGAGGGGAGGAGGAGGGAGGGAAGGAAGGAGGGAGGGAAGGAGGGAAGGAAGGAAGGAAGGAGGGAAGGAAGGAGGGAGGGAGGGAGGAAGGAAGGAAGGAAGGAAGGAAGGAGGGAGGGAGGGAGGGAGGGAGGGAAGGAGGGAGGAAGGAAGGAGGGAGGGAGGGAGGGAGGGAGGGAGGAGGAGGAGGGAGGAGGGAGGGAGGGAGGGAGGGAGGGGAGGGAAGGAAGGAGGGAGGGAGGAGGGAAGGGAGGAGGGAAGGAGGGAGGGAGGGAAGAAGGAAGGAGGGAGGAGGGAAGGAAGGAGGAGGAGGAGGGAAGAAAAGGAGGAGGGAAGGAGGGAGGAAGGAAGGAAGGAAGGAAGGAGAGGAAGGAAGGAAGGAAGGAAGGAAGGAAGGAAGGAAGGAAGGAAGGAAGGAAGGAAGGAAGGAAGGAAGGAAGGAAGGAAGGAAGGTGCCGCCTCACCTGGGGCTCCGGGTCTCCCGCTGGCCTCCTCGGCTCCTGCCGCCTCCGCCATGGCCCGCTCCGCAGAGGCAGCAGGAGCAGCAGCCGCGGCCCGCCACCCGCCGCCCGCCGCAGAGGCATGGGGAGGGCAGGCGAGAGAGAGAACCAGGTGCTCCGGCAGCGGCCGCCGCCAAGCGAGCCCCTGAGGCAGGCAAGGAGGGAGGGGGGAGGCCGGGCGAGAGGCTACACTTCAGGCTGAGGAGGAAGCGCCCGGCATCTCGCGAGAGTTGCGTTGGCCAGAACACACCCGGGGACCCTTCGCGGAACAGTTCCTTCCGAATGCCTCAGCTTTGGACAAGAGGATTCTGGGAAGTGGAATCTCAAACACTTGAAGGAGTCGAGGCTCGCGGCTTTCTTCATGTTGGGAGGCTTCCCGAGGGGCACCTCCCTCAATCCCTGCCTGCTTTCGGCAGGCACGTGCGCCCCCGGCACGCGACCCGTGACGCGCCAAGCTCCGCCCCTCCTCCTCACCCACTGACCCAGATACGAGGCCGCGCGCCGCCGCCGCCGCCTTGGAGCGAGCGTGCGCTGACTTAAGCTTAAGGGCGGCTCCTCAGGTTCTCGCGTCCCACGCTCTTCATGGGCGGCGTGGCTTCAAAGGCCCTTGTTTCTCAACCTGGGGGTCGGGACCCCTGATGGGGTCGCAAGGGGGTGTCAGAGGGGTCACCAAAGACGATCAGAAAACAGTATTTTCTGTTGGTCATGGAGGTTCTGTGTGGGATGTTTGGTCCAATACTATCATTGGTGGGGTTCAGAATGCTCTCTGGTTGTAGGTGAACTATAAATCCCAGCAACTACAACTCCCAAATATCAAGGTCTATTTTCCCCAAACTCTACCAGTGTTCACATTTGGGCATATTGAGAATTCGTGCGAAGTTTTGTCCAGATTCATCATTGTTTGAGTCCACAGTGCTCTCCGGATATAAGTGAACTACAACTCCAAAACTCAAGGTCAGTGCCCACCAAACTCTTCCAGTATTTTGTGTTGGTCACAGGAGTTCTGTGTGCCACGTTTAGTTCAATTCCATTGTTGGTGGAGTTCAGAATGCTCTTTGATTGTAGGTGAACTATAAATCCCAGCAACTACAACTCCCAAATAGGAAAATGAATTCCTCCCCTCCCCAACCCCACCAGTATTACAATTTGGATGTATTGGATATTTGTGCCAAATTTGGTCCAGTGAATTAAAATACACTCTACAGGTCAGATATTTACATTACAATTCATAACAGTAGCAAAATTGTAGTTATGACGTAGCAACGGAAATAACTTTATGGTTGGGGGTCACCACAGCATGAGGAACTGTGTTAAGGGGTCACGGCATTCGGAAGGTTGAGAAACACTGCCACAGGGACTTCCCAAGCTTACTTCGCCAAACATTGATGGGGCGTCCAAGTTCCAGATGCCTCCGCCAGGATGGTCGGGGGGGGGGGGGGGCTTGTAATCTAACCAATATCTTAGGCCCCTTTTACACAGCTGTATAAAATCCATGATAATCTGTTTTGAAGTGTATTATATGGCAATACACACAGATAATCCAATTCAGAGCATGTAATATCGATTTTATTTGTCGTGTCAGGAGCAGCCAGACATTTGTATTACATTTTTAACAAAACAATCAAACAAAACAAAGTTTGCAAGCTTGGTAGTTGATTAAATGTCCATTGACCAGTATCTGACCACTTAGAATGCCTCTGGTGTTGCCGCAAGGAGGTCCTCCATTGTGCATGTAGCAGGGCTCAGGCTGCATTGCAGCAGGTGGTCAGTGGTTTGCTCTTCTCCACACTCGCATGTCGTGGATTCCACTCTTTAGCCCCATTTCTTAAGGTTGGCTCTGCATCTCGTGGTGCCAGAGCGCAGTCTGTTCAGCACCTTCCAAGTCGCCCAGTTTTCTGTGTGCCCAGGGGGGAGTCTCTCATTTGGTATCACCCACGGATTGAGGTGCTGGGTTTGAGCCTGCCACTTTTGGACTCTCGCTTGCTGGGGTGTTCCAGCAAGTGTCTCTGTAAATCTTAGAAAACTATTTCTTGATTTAAGTCGTTGACGTGCTGGCTGATAACCAAACAGGGGATGAGCTGGAGATGTCTCTGCCTTGTCCTTTCACTATTGGCTGCTACTTCCTGGCGGATGTCAGGTGGTGCAATACTGGCTAGACCAGAGTTTCTCAACCTGGGGGTCGGGACCCCTGGGGGGGTCGCGAGGGGGTGTCAGAGGGGTCACCAAAGGCCATCGGAAAACACAGTGTTTTCTGTTGGTCATGGGGTTTCTGTGTGGGAAATTTGGCCCAATTCTATTGTTGGTTGGGTTCAAGATGCTCTTTGACTCTAGGTGAACTATACATCCCAGCAACATAACTCCCAGATGGTAATGTCTATTTCCCCCAAACTCCTCCATTGTTCACATTTCGGCATATTGAGCATTTGTGCCAAGTTAGGTCCAGATCCATTATTGTTTGAGTCCACAGTGCTCTCTGGATGTAGGTGAACTACAACTCCAAAACTCAAGGTCAATGTCCACCAAACCCTTCCAGTATTTTTTCTTGGTCATGGGAGTTCTGTGTGCCAAGTTTGGTTCAATACCATCCTTGGTGGAGTTCAGAATGTTCCTTGATTGTAGTGAACTATAAATCCCAGCAACTACAACTCCCAAATGACAAAATCAATCCCACCCAAACCCCACCAGTATTCAAATTTGGGCACATCGGGTATTTGTGCCATATTTGGTCCAGTGAATGAAAATACATTTAGCAAATCAGATATTTGCATCATGAAAATAACATTATGGTTGGGGGTCACCACAACATGAGGAACTGTATTAAGGGGTCACGGCATGAGAAAGGTTGAGAACCACTGGGCTAGACAGTGTAGTTTCTCCAGTGGTGTAGGGCGCAGACACCTCTTGATAATGCGGCATGTCTCATTAAGAGCCACATCCACTGTTTTAGTGTGGTGAGATGTGTTCCACACTGGGCATGTGTACTCAGCAGCAGAGTAGCCTAGCACAAGGGCAGATGTCTTCACTGTGTCTGGTTGTGATCCCCAGGTTGTGCCAGTCAGCTTTTGTATTATATTGTTTCTAGCGCCCACTTTTTGCTTGATGTTCATAAACAGCATAGATGCTGTTGCTAGCACTAGGCCATTTGAGCATGGCCTCAAACTGCTTGAGCAGATGTACACAACTAGTATGAAGCTAAGCCTCCCCCACCTCCATGGAAACACCCGCACAGCAACCCCGGCAGCCCTCTGAAAATGGTGATATAGAATCATTTTGAGTGAACAGAGGAAAACTGATGTATTTGGATTCTGTGGTGTTTCTGGGGCTAGAGTGGGGGTAATTTGAGGTGTTTTCAGTCGTTTGAATGGAAGAATTTTCCCCCAGATTGCATTGGGGGATACGTGGAAGGCTTTGAGGCTATATGTGGTTCACAGACTGCATTACGCCCACCCTACTTTATAGCTAGAGGGATCTACCATCTTTTTTGTAGAACAGTTACTCTAAGGAACACTTTACCCAGGAAAAAATTGACAATCAGTTAGGGATCACTATGTAAACGTTAGCTGGTGTTACTGACCATTATCAATATGCTGAAACTGGTTACGTGTCATAACATATCCAACACAAATACATCCACAGACCAGGGCAGTCTTTCCTTGGTGCCTTCTAGATGTGTCGATCCACAACCTTCATGATTCACCAGACAGCACAGTATAATGTATTATCGAAGGCTTTCATGGCCGGAATCACTGGGTTGTTGTAGGTTTTTCCGGGCTATATGGCCATGTTCTAGAGGCATTTTCTCCTGACGTTTCGCCTGCATCTATGGCAAGCATTCTCAGAGGTAGTGAGGTCTATTGGAAGTAGGAAAATGGGTTTATATATCTGTGGAATGACCAGGGTGGGACAAAGGATTTTTGTCTGCTGGAGCTAGGTGTGAATGTTTCAACTGACCACCTTGATTAGCATTTAATGGCTTGGAAGTGCCTGGGGGGAATATTTTGTTGAGAGTGATTTGTTTGTTTGTTGAGAATGCTACGTTCAGCAAAGGACAAGAGGGATCCCCTCACCTCTGCAGGAGCCTACCGTATTCCATGCAGCTGTGGACAAGTCTACATAGGGACCACCAAACGCAGCATTGCCCAAACACGAATCAAGGAACATGAAAGGCAATGCAGACTACTTCAACCAGAGAAATCAGCCATAGCAGAGCACCTGACGAACCAACCTGGACACAGCATATTATTTGAGAACACAAAAATTCTGGACCACTCTCACAACCACCATGTCAGACTACACAGAGAAGCCATTGAAATACACAAGCATGTGGACAATTTCAACAGAAAGGAAATAACCATGAAAATGAACAAAATCTGACTACCAGTATTAAAAAAAACCTCAAAAATTACAACAGCAAAACAACAGAGAATAAACAATCAGGCACATCAAATCACTCTCAACAAGAGATTCCCCCCAGGCACTTCCAAGCCATTAAATGCTAATCAAGATGGTCAGTTGAAACATTCACACCTAGCTCCAGCAGACAAAAGTCCTTTGTCCCACCCTGGTCATTCCACAGATATAAAAAACCATTTTCCTACTTCCAACAGACCTCACTACCTCTGAGGATGCTTGTCATAGATGCAGGCGAAACGTCAGGAGAAAATGCCTCTAGAACATCGCCATATAGCCCGGAAAAACCTACAACAACCCAGCACAGTATAGCTGGCCATGGGATTATGGAAACCATAGCACAACATATCTTGAGGGCAGTGAATTGGCCAAACCTGTGGCAGGTGAAAGAACAGGGCTCCAAGCCTTTATTTTCACTTCCCCAACAGTAGTTGCCACTTGCCACGGACATTGGAAAACATTCTAAGGGAGAGGCACAAAAGCTAGAGAAAAAACAGGTTGGTGACAAACTCTTAGCAAGGTACAATAGTAAACTGCGTAGCAAAAATACAAAAAGGAAGTCTTCATAATGCTAGCACTGTTTTTAAGGATGATCTGTAATTCCATAAATGTTCTTTGTCTAACTGCACAAAGGATTCTGTTGTTCAAAACAGCAATTTCGAATGTAGCTTTTCTTAAACTGTGACT